TATTTTTTAATCTTCGTCATTTTTTTTGTGTTTATCACTAATAAATTAATTAATAATTAAATAAATAGTTACCCTATGCTACTGAACAAAATAATATATATATTATATAACATACTGGAAAATATTAGATTATAGACTGTGGTCAATTGAGCAGTCATTATAATTTGTTTTATAATTTTAATTCTCTTAAATTGCATTATTATAATTTTTTTGTAGATAATAATGTTTATTGGAAATTAAATAATTAAAAAATAATCTAAATTAATTGTTAATTACATAATTTAATAATATTAATAAATAATAATTTGCACAAAAAAAAAAATAATAATAATATTAATACCTAAACGTATTTAGTTTAATTGTATGTAGTCAATTTTTACCTCATACTAAGATTTTAGATTAACTAAATTATACATTATGATTTTTTATTATTTATCATAAATAGACTAATAAAAATAAAACCAAAAGTAAACCAAAATAGTTTATTTTTACAAACATTGATCCATGAATATGTTTCGTCATGACTACATATTTTATAAAGTTTGATAACATACGTATATTTTCAATACCAATTATTTAGAATAATTTAATAAATAAAAACTACACATATATGATCTATATGATCTATTATAACAAACAATAAGTTTTTGTAAAAAATACTTAAGAAAAATCATTTGTTGTGTATATCAAACAAAAAATTAAATAATATTTCAATACCATTTAAAACTGTAATTTTAACAAATGTATGTAAATATAAAATATCTAAATGATTTTTAATAAGGAAATAAATCTACTACCTCTAGAAATTTAAATTTAAACCTAATTTTGAAAATTCCCTATTTCATAATACAAATAAAGAATTACTTGCAGGTTTTATGATTAGAATAATTAATATTTATAATTTATACTTGTTAGTTGGTATTTTCTCCATATTCAATAGTAATTGTATTAAGTAAAAAAAAAACACATTAAACATAAGATGAAAATTTAAATTAAAAATTTTATATATAGAGTTTCAACTCTATACTATCTCGAGTATAATATGTGAATATCTAGTACCTATACAAAATATAAATAAGGATATATTCGTAATGATATAAATATTAAAGTAGTATAAGAAATAGTACACTCATCTAATATGAATCATGGATATTAATCTAAAACTATAATAGTGGTTTCCAGCGTAGTAATTTTATATTTGACCTTAACGTCAAAAATAAGTAAATATATTGTTGGTGTCTAATATTACAGAAAATATTTAGGATCTAGAAAAGTATATAATTTGATTTAATTTTATAATTAATGATACGAGAGTGATTTCAGCATCAAAACCGTGTTTTCTATCATTTATATAATCATTTATAATACTTAACATGAATTAAATAAATACATTTGTATTAAAATACTTATTTTAAATATAATAAAATAATCGAATATCAGATACTTAAAAAAAAAATTTTTTTAATTTTCTTCTGTAAATTTTTGCAGTTTGGTTAAATGAATTTCTATTTATTATCATTTTATAAGCTTACGATTTTAAATCTTATTAAAAAATGTCCTTTAGTGATCACCTAAATAAAATACAATTATAAAATAACTAATGAATATACATTAATTAATGTATTGAATTATATACTGCAACAATGACGACCAATGGGAATCAATTTCCTTCCTATGAAGCATATACTGTTGAGTCTTACACTCATATAGTAGTGGTTTTAGTTAGAACATACAACTAATAACCTTGAACTTGCATTGGGATTTTCAAAACATAAATTTAATTATTTTACGTATTATAATTCTTACTAATCGTATAAAATATTATTATATAAGTTTCTTAGGAAAATTATGAGAATATAATATGTAATATCGAGAAAGAAAATATATTATGTTATGAATTAATTAAGTAAACGTGTTATTTTTTATTCAAAATAAAATACTGGTTACAATAAATGTTGTAATAATTTTAAACATTTACTTTAACTAATATTTTACGTGTTTTTTTAAAAACAAAATAATTACTTTTTCAAAGTTATATTTCATTAAAAATAACATGGCATATTATAACATAGGTAGTATAAATATGTATGTGTTAAGTATTTATTCATTAAGAATTAGTTAGATATGGGTAATAGGTACATTACACCAATATAAGATATTTTATCATAACAGAAAACATATAGTAAATAATGTGATAATGATGTATTTTTGTAAGTTTTTAGTATTAAACATATTAATAAATTATTATAGCATGAACATACTTTAAATAAACCATTTATTGATTTTATCAAATTTTTATTAAATTCTAATAGTTGGATCTTATTAATAATGGATAAACACTAATATCTAGATGTTTTCAAGTTATTATATTTCTTAATTTTGTGTTTAAGTTTACAATTAAAAAAAATAACAAAATGTCAGTGAATATCATTATAGACTAAAGAGAATGCCGATAACATCTTCTGATAAAACTAGTTTTAAAACATATAAACTCAAATCTATATGAGTTATAGTGTGTTAGCGTGTTAAACATAGATAATGATATTATATGAATATGATCATCAATAATATTTTGTATATATGGTAAATTTATGAAATATAAATAGTAATATATTATTTAAAACTAAAATTATATTCCATAAAAGTACACACATATATATTTAAAATTGCCCATGAAAAAATATTAATCGATCACCAATGATGATAGAACAGACTACCCAAAAATATTTGCCATACATCAACTGACAATAATAGTATAATTATTATAGATTCAGAAAAAGTCGCATATTATACATTTTATAACCAAACCTTCATGTTGTAGCTTAATAAATTAAAATCCTATTTCATTCGAATCACTGTTGATATTTCTCGTAAAAAATATATTATAGTATATTGTCTTGTATTGTAAAAATAGATATAGATAAGTCATCAAGGATTTACAGACAATATATATTTAAATGAAAAGGTTGACGACTATTTTAAATTATTACTGAAACTTTTAGATATCCCTATCAATACGAGTATATTACTATTAATTTTACAAGTCCTTCGAATAAATTAAAACACATTATAGTTTTAATATTTTTTTAGAAATTTATATAAGATATTAAAATATACTTGAATAAATAATTTTTATTTGTTATATTTTCACCGACTATCTAAATAATTAATCGTTATTAAAACAATATATATATATATATATACATATATTATTCCAGAAACTATAGACATCAAAAAATCAATCAGATTTCAATAAACACAATACTTAATAATTCGTTATTATATATAATACCAAACTTGTTTTTGTTAAATACAATTGAAAATTATAATAGCCTATAAATTATCTTAATATTTTATTTAAATCTATAACTCCCTTCTATAACACTATTAGTTCACTTTTGACCATGAAATTAAATTATCATTAAGCTCATATTAGAGAGTTTGAACATTTTGTATGAGTCAATAACATACTTCCACCTTTAGGTTATATGCTTTTAATATTTAATTTTACGTACTTTAAGGCTTAGAATCGTCTATAATCTAAATGATATAAATTTAAGACTCATTTCTTTTTATAACCACAAACAAATAACAATTTCAATGTCAACCAAGTATTTAAAATATTTTTGAGTTTTAAATTAATTGTTCGTGATTTATTATGAAATGAATGATTAAAAATAATAAATCTGATTCATTGAGAATATAAACGTTTTGTTTAGATGACATATACATACAAGAAAAAAATCGTAGTGAATAAAATATTTACATACTTAAAATGAATATTTAAACAATATTTGTATAAGTAATAAACATTGAGTAATCGCTAATAGTAATGTATTACTTTCTGAAAAGTTAATATAATAATGAGTTTAGTTTTTAAGTTAAAACACCGGTTACAGGCTGGAGACATCGCATATTTCGTTTTTTTTTTATTTTAGAAGAAAGTCATGATCCGACAATGGACTTAGATTAAATAATATATACCTAAATTATGCGATTAAAACGTAACAATGGGGATATGTGATCTCAAAAATTAAGTGAAAATAAAGCAAATCTCCAATGTCTATAATATCTACTAATCGATTCATATTAAATAGAACAGATGTCAAATATACAACACTGATAATATGTAGATACCACAGATATTATAATTATTAATATTTTTATATCGTGGTCGTGTTTTTCCCGTGATAATATACCTAATAATAATAATTAGGGCCAGAATGTTGATGACTTTTACATCTTTTTTTTTTAAATATTATAAACTATGTTTTTCTAGCTTAAAATGTATTTCTATAACACATAAATCTGTATAGATAATTTTTATTTTGCATTATTTTTTTCGTTATTTTTCGGTCATTTTTGTAACTCATCAAATCATTTGTCGAAGTTTAAGGTATTATTTTACTATTGTTTACCAATTTAGAAAATAATTAAAATTTATTTTATTTTATCTACATCTCTTATAAAAACTACATAAAACAAATTTTTAAAATTTTTTTTTTTTTAGATTAAAATTAGTTTCAATACATTTTCACTCAAATCAAAATGCGGATGAACCAACATAAATTGTAATTATTAATTAAAAAACCAATAAAATAATTGTTTAGTTCGATACATTTTTAGCGTTTTTAAATATTTAGATCATGCAATTTTTTAGGGTATTATTTTGTATTTTTAGGTAATAAATAAATTTATTAAGGCATTGACATTCGGGCCCTTATAATAATAATATTTTAAAATATATAATATGTCTTAGAAGTGTCCTTGTCTCGTCGAGCTCGTTGCTGAGAACTAGCGAGAACGCCATCGTAGTGCACACAGCATCGCACACAATCTCCCTACCGGTTCGCCATCGCACTCGTCTGCATATGTGTGTGCGTGCGCGTCTGTGCGGTGTGAGTGTGTGCGCGTGAGTTTTTTTTACAATATTATATATTATTGTTTCCTTACCTGTTTACAGCCGTGCCTATATAAACAAAAACCGGTATTAAATAACTTTTAATTCCTATCCAAAGACTATTGTGTGTGGTGCTGAACGTGGACCGCGTTCAAATTTTATTTTATTTATTTTCCGTAAAAGTCTTCTGTGGACTTCTTCGCGATGGCTGTAAGTATTTTCTTTTAACTGTCACTTATAATATTATAAAACTTTTTATAATATATATTTATATATATACTACTATATAACAATACATTTGTATAATATTATATAAAATAGACGAATATTATTTTTACCATACGAAATCGGAAAAAAATACTATTCAATAATAATTCATATAAAAATATGAATATAACTATTTTTTTTCTTTATAATACATTTACAACATTTCCCTGTAATATATTATTAACCATTTAATGATTCAATACACATACATAAACTTTAGACTGTTTAGATTTTAACTTAACAATTTTACATATAACTAATGTACTGCAATATGTATAAGTTATAACAAAACAATTTAATTATAGTTTTTAACACTTAAATAATTTATATCCAATATAATTTTATTGAAAAATTGTGGAGACTCATTGTAAAATTTAGCTTTTATTGAATTGAGAATTTTTTCGAACTTTTATAGTTCATAATTTTAGAAGGAGTTATTTATTTAAATTACAATTATTAATCTATTTGCATGTATTCGCATAAAGTAAATAGTAGTTTATATCTAGATTATAATCACCTAAGCCAATACTATATGAGTTATGAGTTGTTACCTGTTTTATTTTTTAAATAATTTTACAATAATATTCATTACACCTTAGACTTACTATTAAGAGCTAAGAGAGAATGTATACTTATTTTATTGGCATAGTTATCTATGTATTTAATCTTTGAATAAAATATTAATAAATACAATATATTCTCGTAGGTAATCAAATATTTTCTACAACATCATTAATAAGTTTTAACAAATAAGTTATATATAAGTTTTATATTTTTGTTTGACAGAGTCGTTAGTCAATGGCACTTTGATTTTTAATATATTAATGACTATTACTACACATAAAAAGTAGTTAAAGTTCTATGAATTTTCATTATTTTTTCGTATTAAAATAAAATCGATTGGTAAAACTTAAAGTTGAATTTAAGTAAAAATATTTGTATAAATATATTGATAATTAAACCGATGTAATAAATGTATTAAAAAATTATATCTTTCATATTTTGTTTGTTAGTTAATTAAATATATTGTACTTCCTAATTAAAATATGTTTTTGTTTAAACATTTTATAAAGTTAAAAATAACTTGTTCAACAAGTAATAATAAATATACAACTTTTTACAATATTCTATATTATTGAAAAAAGAAAAATGTTAATTTATTTATATTTTCAAAATTCATAATTTAGTATTATAAACGCAATTTTAAATTTATTGAGTAATAAGTAATATACAATGAATATAAATATTTAATTGGTATCTACAAATAAAAATATATTACTAAATCTCACTTAATACCTTTTTATAAAAGTTTTGCAATATTATGGTAGGTAGATAATTAACACATTTTTTTTAAATATCTTTTCCATATTATTTTTGAACTCAATATCATAGATTTATGTTTCGATATAATGATTATTTTTTAAACTAAAGGTAACTTCATACAACCAAAAAACGAATTTAAATTAGTTGATTTATTATCAGTTTATTATGAAAACCATTCTCTGATAATTTAATAATATTACAATGGATCTTTCCTTATGCATATATTAAAATATTGGGAATTTGCCACATTTTATAATGTAAAAATTTAACATTTCATATTAGTTATATACATGTTATAATACTTTTGATTCATAAAAAGTTTGGAACATAAATGACCTACATTGTCGAGATCATCAAATTTACCAACACACCTTATTAGTTATTATGTTTGTGTGATCATCATGATAGCGTTGGTGGATAATATTCATATTATAATCGAGTAATATCTTGTTATGAAACGATCATTTTCCGTTCAGCGAACCGTACAACAAGCAGCAATAATGATTGTTAGACCTCTAAATTTAAGGTCAACAATAATAATATAGAATTGAAAAAAGTTGAAATTTCAATCATTTTACTTTACTTGCCATCTGTGGAATACATATTATATTATAAAAATAATAATTCAAAATAACTTTATAGCTGTCATTTCAAAATCGAACGTCTCTTTGAACCTATTTCACTTTAAAATCACTTTAAAAATGATTATTTATTATTCTTACTAACTTAACACTGTACAATCTGTGTGTATAAATTGTACATTTAATAGATCACTTACTTATATAAATAATAATACACTTCAATTAAACTTATTCAACATTTAACGTATTTTGAACAAGTACTTCTTGTTAGGCAACGCCTAATACATGTTAAGGCGTCACGGCAATGAGTTATGATTACTCCTACGTATTTATATATTATACTCCTATAATGTATACATATTATTAACTATTAAGTTTACAACAAATATATGTGTAAAATTTAGGAAATCCGTATAAAATCAAAGATTATAATTTTCGTGATATGTTTGCTGTTTTAAAAATTCTTAAAAAATAATTAAAATATTATTTGAAATATAAAAACATTAAATATCAACAAATTATTTTGATTTTTAAATAATCCTTGTAACTAACGATTTTGAGTAGAAAATGTATTTACCTACTGATAAAAAAATTGTAGCCAACAGGTTATTTATGTAATTGATATATTATATAGAGGTTGTAGATAGCAATATTTTAATGGTCTTATAGTATAGTTAATTTAGTATGTATTTTATAGTATAAATAACACATAGTAATAAATAGTTAATTATCCAAATGTTAAAGATTTAGAACAATATTTTTATAATACCTTTAAATTTGTATAAAGGTGGGAATAATTTCAAATTGAGAAAAAAATCTGCTATGGTGTTATAATTTTTAATTCTTTAACTTAATATGTTTAACGACCAATATAATTAATTGTTGTTTACTAGAACATAATTACTTTAAACTATAAACTTGATGATATGAATCTTAGTACATAGATAACTTAGTATATTATAAACAAAATTCCTATTTCAAAAAAATACTTTTAATTGTAATTCAACTAGTTAAGAATCATAGTTTCTTGATAACTAAAACGTATTGTTTTAATTATAATTACGAAATTTTAAGCATTTCTAATTTAGTAAGTAATTTGTAATATAAAAACGGGAAAAAAATTAGCGTCGTCTACTACGTAATTTTCAATACCCGTATTTATATTTATCGATAAATATAAATTGCATTTTTCAAGAGAAGAATAAATGTGAAATGTAATCGAATAAAAATACGTAAACTCTTAGCGTCATTTCATAAGATTCGATAAATAAAAACAAATAGCTATCACTTATCTACCGCCAGAAGATTAAAATTTATTCACGACAATTAAACGATAAGTGTATAGATGAAACGTTATGCCAAGAAAATGTATCATCACATCTAGTATTTTTCGACTCATTGGACTTGATGACATTTCGATTGACATCAATGATGACAGACAGTTTGAAAATAAAACAATCGACTGTTTTGGCAAAACACTTCGCAGCCAACACAGACAAACAGCATGTCAAATGTACCTGTAGGATAACTTACCTTTATGTGTTATGTAGACATGTATTGTGTGATGGTCAATTTTCAAATATTTAAAAAACTACGCTAATTTATTTAGCGCGTTTAAACACGTACTTAATTGCTTACTACGAATTCCAAAGCAAATAAATATATTGTTGGTTCTTATTGACATATTATTTTTGAGAAGCTTAATTAACGATTATTATTTAACGCGTAAAATGGAATATCGTGTTATCATGTATGTAATAATTAATAATGAACTATGGATTTTTTAAATTATTGTTAGCGCATCTTTCAACTAAAATATTCCATATAAATGGTAGTATAAAATATTATCCTGATTGTAAACAGAATAAAATTAATTATTTAATTCTGATAGATGCAAATGCCTAAACTCCCAATGTAAAATTATTTCTTTTACATAATAGTTCCTTTCTGTCTATATCAATAATTTGGCACATCGATGAAGACGATTCAGTTGATAAAATAGAGATAATTTTGCTTTCGTTTCATAACAGTTTTAGATTTAACCACACCAAGGACAAGATTTTTCTCATAATATTTAAAATATCATAATCACTCGATGATACCTACTAGAGACTACAAGAGAAATAAGCAAACTTCGTGTATGCACATAAAACGTGTCTGGACGGCAATTGTATTTATCCTTGTCCGAAATATATTTACATAGTAACCTATAGATAATGGATATTATTCACATAAAAATGTTGACATGATCTAAATTTACATACTAGTCCCGTAACGTCTTTATTTTTTTTTCGTTTTTATGTAATTTATATGAATATATTTTAATAATAAAAAACATTTAATATGTTCACTTTCTTTTAAGACATACTACTTGAAAACGTATAACTCATACATAATATTTTAAGGTAATAAGGTAACAATGTATTTAATATAATATTAATGTAAAAATAATTGATCGCCCAATTAAAATAAGCAAAAATACTATAGCTATGATGTAATATAATATTCATATGAATATATTATAATGCAAATTTATAAGCTATAAAAAATTACGATAAAAATAGTTAACACCCTGTAAAGGACCTAAAATAAAATGTTTTGTTTAAATTATTTTACATTGAAACACATTTAAATTATTATTGCAATAAGTTTTCAAAAAAATATAATATATAACTTACAAGTTCATACAAAATGTGGGTTTCACATGTAAAATTAAATTATAATAGTTATTCTTCCAATTACCATTATAAAATATGGCATATATAACAATATGCACTGTGTTCATATCCTAAATTATTTTAAACAAATCACCTTGAAAAAAAGGTTAAATTATAAATATACAATATTAATCAAATCTATTTGTAAGTATCAATACAATAATGTGATACTATTTACGATATATTAGGCTATGAGATCGATTGTTTTTATGATAATATTGTATTCACAACTTTTGCTTTATTGTCTAATACCGAAATTGATTTAAATAATTTAATTACTTTGAAACTACATATCATGTAAAATGAATTGAAAAACTATAACTAAGAATAATGTTGAAACCATATGTTCTTATGACCTTTGTAACTAAATATTTTTCATTCTTTAAAAAATACCATTAGTATGCTTTTGATGAAATCATATAAATACTACAAATTATGCAAATATTGTTATGTGTTATATATATATATACATATATATTATATACACACATATGATATTATTTATTACCAGCAATCGTTAATTAGAAGTATATAGGTAAAAATATAAAAGTATAAAAATAATAATTATGCATTTACCTACTTTAATAATGTAACAAAATTATGTTATAAAAAATTTTCTATAATATATAAAATACAAAAATAAATTTTATTTTTATGATTTAAGTGCAAATTAAGCACTTTAAAAAAAAAAAAATTAAACTTAATATTTTTTATTTAACTTTTATTAAATTAAATGATCTGGCAGAATATCAAATTAGTCAGACCAGTTTCCGAACTGTAAGTTTTTACTAACTCTTTTGTATAATAAATAGGTACAGTCACAAATATCCTGGAATTATCTGTACAGGTTATAATATTATAATATGTTATATTATCTACTAAAAAGATAATTATTTCACCTTGAAAGTTCCAATTATTTAATATTATTATCTCAGAACACACCACTATTATAGGTGGTCAATTAAATTGTGTTTATGCATGTACGACGTAAGTACATAACTTGTAATTATATAAAATTTAAATAAATATGTTAATTTATTTATTTTTAGATATACTTGTTGGTACTAGGTAGGTAGGTACGTATCTATTAAATAATTTGATTGAATGTACCAATAATATATTTTAGTACAGAGCTGATAAAGAACAAAAAAATACGGGTTTTACAAATCTTAAAAATTATATGAAAAATTATGTATTTACTAATAATAGACAACATTTTGTATTAAGTTTTATAACATTATACATATCTTACCTAATAATATAATTGATAAATATTACTTGTATATTAATATACTATTATAGTACCTAATATGTACATTAGTAAATCGACATCAGTATTCATTTTTACAGGGAATAATATGACATGTAATTTATTTTTTAAATAGAATAAATTTATTCATCTTTTTTTTTCAGTTGACCATTGTGTTGGTGTTGACTATCTTAAGTGTAGCAAACTATGGTAATACATTTGAATTTTCTGGACTTGACCCATCAGTACAAATCAAATCACAACTAAAACCAACCATAAAACCATTTTCTGCACAAACTAACCAAGTAAATTAAATATTAATTAATTTGTGTACACCAATTCTTACGATTGTAATTTTTAATAGCCTTATCAAGGAGACCAATTTAAGTCAACGTTTGGACACAATAGTGTACCTGCAAAGCCTTTCGGAGCACCATTTGATCACTTTAAATCATCTTATCAGCCTGACCAACCATTCAGAACAAATTATCAACCATTTGGACCTTATCCTGGTTACCCAGGACCTGTTGTATACCCCGGTTACGGTGGTTATCAAGGACCAGAGGCTTACTCCTCTCCGCCTTACCGTTTTAATGAACCCAACCACAAGCCATTTGGTTTTCAACCATTCCCAGCACCGGTTCAGCCAACGTTCAATCAATACAAATTTGGTCCAGCAAAAAAATTCAATAAAAATTTCCCAGGACTAGTCGATTTCAATCAAGCAGGAAAATATTTCCATGAACACCAATTGGGAGCATATCATGGACCTGAATTTTCATCTGCTATTGTGCCTGCAGAACATAATATTAAACAATCAAAACCTAAAGATACGTTATTAAGCAAACCAGTTTTTCCGACTTTACCTGAATTCGGATTACATAAGCAAACCAGCTTTGGACTTCCTTCGCCATCATTCAAGTATCCAGTACCAAACTTCCCACCAATTCAGGTATGGCTAAAATAATTAAAAATCAATCATATTTTATCATAGTGTGTGATTCTAAGTATGGGGTCCTCGACTGTATTTAATCTCAAGACCTCAATAAACTTCTAGACTCATTGGGACTCTTTAGGTTGTAACTTCAAAGATACAATTTTACTTGTATATGTAATTATTCATTAATATCACATATAATTGTTTATGAAACTTACGAGTATATTATAGTTATACTAATGGTTTTTTTTTTTATTTGGCTTTATTTTTGATTTGCTTCTTCTTCTTGGTTTTATCCATTCAAATGAAAAAGTTTAGATAAATTACATCATAGAATTCTGTTAAGAGTAAATTTGGTTTTTTTTTTTTTTTTTGTTGTTGTTGAATAAATATCTATTTTCTAATTACGATTCATATCCATGATGGTTATTATTTGTTATTACGGTAAAATTATTTAAATGTATGTCAAATAAAAACAAATTTTTGGTTGCGAATTTCGTGATGATTGTAATTTTCCATAAACTTAATACTATTTTACACAACGAGGATGGACTGTGGTTTCAATTTTCAATATAAATATTCATATTACCTTACACATACATCTTTAATATTAACCTACTACCCAGGTGATTTTTTTTTCTTAGTATAAATGTATGAGATTATTAATTTGAATTGTAATGCTTATATTGCATAATATAATATATAAGTTTATTTAGTTTTATATGTTAATACTATTTTACAATAATTAAAAAACTATTAATTATTATTAGTGTATTATTAAGTATAAAGAAAGGTTTTTTTATTTAATTATAATTAAACATAAAAATTTGAAAAATAAAACATAAAGTAGTATAATTTAAAGTTTGATAATATTATAAATATTTAGAATAGTTTTAAATAAAATTATCAATGTCCTTTTTGAAACTTAATACGAAAATTTATTTCAATATCTTTTATGAAATATTATCGATTATATTTTCTGTTAAACCATGGTACCTAACGTATCACTATTTTAAATATTATCACATTGTAATTTCAACCGATAAGCTTATAAAATTTCAATTGACATAACTAATGGGTGGAATTTATGAGAACTCGAGCCCCCCTCCCTCAGATTTAAAAATCTAGTAAATTTATGAAGATTATGATGACAAAATCAGCATAGTATATTATTTTTATTTAAATAATATTAATTGTGACCATAAAAGTATAAACCAAAAGTACATTATTTAGTATAGAATTCATTACCTACTGATAAAATATTATTTCTAATAATACTTTAATGAACCTTTTACGATTTTGTTATTCAGCCTTTCGTCAGCACCATACCGTCAGTAAAGAGCGTGCCCACTACAGTCATTCCGGTGGATGCTGTAAACATCGAAAAAAAATTCGGCGGAGCTGAAATCACTACTTCTGTTATTCCGTTGTCATCGGCTCAAGATGAATTGGCAACGGTGCAACAGCAATCCGCGGAGGTCACAGGCGAGCCATCGGCAGCAACACCTTCCAGTCCCGCTCAGGAGGAGGTCACTGCCGGTGACGTCTCTGCCGCCGAAGTGCCCGCAACTGAAGTAACGATCAACAATGAAGTGCCCGCGGCCCAGGATGCCGCCCCGGCAAAAGAACAAAGCGCGCCATCGTCGGAGAGCAACGAACCCAACACCGATAGCGAGAAGATCGCACCTGCCCCGGAAACCCAAGACTCTGTCAAGGAACTGAGCCCTGTTGTGGTAGCCGAAGAAGTTAAAGAAACCTCAAGCGGCGCACCAGCTGAACTTTCAAACGACCCCATCGAGTTGACCACCATCAGCGGATCCGAAACCACCTCCGCGAAATCCGAAGTAGCCACAGAAAACAAATCCGAGACCGGTATTGAAGCCGGTAAGTAGGTTTTTATTTGTTCTTCTGTACATCATAATAAAAAATCTTAGTGATGTAAGCGTAGACGCGTTAACGCTATAAGACTTAAAATCCATTAAAAAAAAAAAAATGATGAGTTGCATTACTTCTACTCATAGAAACGTGTATTTTATCTAGAAACAAAAGGGTGTTGTGAATCATAATGACGTTTAAAATCACTAAATCATATTCCACCGCGCACATAGATCGTATGATTATAAATTATAATATGTAAATCGGACAAATTTAAAAATTTAATTTAAAACGAACATTTTTATTTCACACCCGATAAATTGCCTTGTCATTTCGGAATAATTCCACTACAGTTGCCCGCAAATAGTAAACATTTCGTGCGATAATTTCAGATTCAATTATAAAACCTAATCTCGTCCGAAATGAGTGTGTTTCATTACTAAGTATTATAAATTAATTCAATTGAAACAGTCGAGTTGACCGCTAGCGTTCAATGACTTACAAAATTCATTCGTCTCACAAATAATTATTACAAAGATCTCCTCCAGTGCGTAATATTATCTAATGAGGCCAATGTACCGTTTTGAAATATTATTGTTTGTATTTTCTTATTAAATAACTGAATATTATATTGTTCAAATACAAACAAAAAACTGGCAAGTTTGATATGCCAGTTCGTAAATACGCCGCAGTGAGTTTGATTAATTTTTGTTGGCACAGTTTTATGAGTCATATATTCGAGCACGAGTTCATTAAAAATTTGATGAGTAGCTGCGATTACTATCATATTTACCCAATGGCCAATACTGACCATGCAAACTAAAAATATGATATCTGATGAGATTGACGTAAAAATATAATATAAACATACTTACATTGTGGTTAATAACTGCAATGATTATATGAATAAGATATTAAGATTTTATATGATACGTCATTTTAATCTCGTGATGATATATTTTATTCGTGGACGTGCTTTAAATTAATACCTAATAAAGAATCACGTTAGAACCCTGATCATGATTTTAACGAACAATATATATATATATTATATGGTGCCAATATGGCAATATGTTCGAAGATCGTTGTCTGACAACTATTTTGAATTTTATTGTGAATTTTAAATTTATGACAATCATTAAAATTATAAATTCTTATCTTGATCCTACAGCAAGCTTGCCAAGTCTACCCACCAAATTGCAGAACTCGAATTTTGGTTCCATATCGGACACCTCATCGCTGGGTCTATTCGATTCATCGGGATTCCCGAACTTTGGACAGTCCTTTGGTGTCCAACAGCCGTCGTACTACCCCTACTTTGATACGCCCAAATTTTCGGAAGAAGAACTGAAAGCATTCGCGGCTAACTTCGGAACCAATGTCCCACAGTTTGGCCAGGTTGCCGGAAGCGCAGACCCAGTGGTAAAAATCACCGAGGGCACTTTAAACAGTCCGTCGGCTGAAATCGCAACCAAACTCGAAAGTGAAGACAAGGTTAAGAGTGATGACAAAACCGTGAGTGAAGAGAAGAAAACAGTTGTCGAATCTCAATCCCGCAACATCCCAGAAGCACAGCCGAAGTTCAGTTCTGTACAAATAATCCGAGACGACCCATTCAACGGACAATTTCCTTTGTTGTAAGTATAAAATAATCGGAGTCTATAAAATATCTACTTATAGGTAATTCGTCTAGTAATTTTCGAGCGACATGATCGACGGAATTTAAAACTTAAATCGTATTAGAAAGGTTCGAAATAAAACGAATAAACGATACCACTAATATTATAGACTTCCAAACTTAATATCTATTCTAAAATGAATTCAGCAGTGCTATTAAAATCACACAAAACTGTACTTATTTTATTAAAATTATTGTGAAACAATTTTTTTTATTTTATACTAATATAAAAAAACTCAATTATTGAAACACATGATTTTTAACTTTTTAATTTAGGTATTCTGAATAGTTTCCAACTCGGGAAATATAATAAATGCGGGTTTCTATAAATAAAAAGACGTTGGTCGTGTTTTTATACATTCTGCGCACGGTACAAAATAATAAAAAAGACTTATTTATTTATTTTTTCGAATGTATAAGTAGTGATGTATGTATTATTAAATAAACATTAAAAAAAAGTCTTCACACTAATAAATCTGCGCTGCGGTAAACAATGAATAGCCAAATTTTACTAGTCACATCTTGAAGGCTGAAACGCATTTTTAACTATATTATTATATTACTTGCCAATATTAGTAAGCTTATTGCTACCAATATAAAAAACAAACAAATTCAATAACTTCCGAGTTAAACAGTGAAATACTATCATTATAACACTATAATGTACTTATCTACGTCGTATACTTTATTATACAATTTCACTCGTCATGCCTCCTCTCACGTTTTTTAACCGTACCTACGTATGTTTTTCAGGTATGACCCATCCAACTCCGCCTCACCCCTGGACACATACAAGTTCTACAGCCACCCGTCCGTGTCCGCATTGTCATCTCAAGCCTCTCTGGCTTCGTATTCGCCCGAGTCCGCGTTCAGCGACTTCGGAGCCCAATTTCGTCAAGGCTATTTGGTCGAAGGATCGCCCTCGTTGACACCGTTCGCCAAGACAGTCGTGCAGTCCGACCAGACGCCGATTTCCATCTCGTCCCAAGACCATCCACTCCACAGCCAGGTATTCAAATACTCGCAATCGTTTGTGCCGTATCCCGGACTGGTGACCAGCAATAACAACGCTGCCACTTTACAAACCTTCGACGTATCGTCGTCAACAGCCGCGCCAGCCGTCTCCTCCACAACTGCTACCGCCGCTGACGACGTTTCCGTCCAGTCGACTTCCGCTCCAGATGCTGTGGTCGAGAACAGCAGCAGTACCAATGCCCCGACCGTCGAGACAGCTTGAGCTGTCGACGATTTTCTTCCCGCCATTCCCTCATCCTTGGAAATGGTCCCTTTACTCACTTTCCTCGTTCTTCTGATAACAAATCATCCAATATTGTCTTTGTATAATATATTTGTACCATATTCAGCGTTGACTAAACACGGCGATCTGTTCGCACAGTACCGAAGACCGACAGGGTTGCCAGCTAATTTCAAAAGACTATAAACACATACCTATTGTAATTTATTATTGAACCATGATTATGTATTTTTTTTTTTACATGGACGTATTTAAATACAAATCACTATGTATAATAATAATAACCAAACCTTCTAAAAGCATACACTTTTTTTTTCAAGCAGTTATTATAGCGTATTCCTGTTAATGGTTTTTATGTAAAATAATTATTTTACCAGCACGTCATTAAATGCTCATAAAATAAATAGCCAATAGGTAGGTATAAAGCTATATAGCTACTTATAATACTAAAATATAATATATTATATTATATTATATTATTATAATTTATATTATACTTGAAATATATGTATAATGAAAGTATGCGCACGACGCGTATTATCATTATGACAATGTTGAAGAAATGAATCATACCGATTTATAATAATTTTAACTATAAGTACCAGACTGGTACTACCAGTTTATTTGTTCGTGTAACAGACATCGTATTGTGAAAATTATTATTAAGAGACTATCCGTGTACACTTTAAATTTTGAAGGTCGTTGTGTGACGGTGGATGATGAAGTAAGTTTAATAAGTACCTATTATTTATAAGTGATGTATTGTGTCAAATTTAAACCACGCCGCGAAACATTGGTTGTTATAGAGTGTTATGTAACCATCATTCATCTTTACAGAGACTATTTTTTTTTATCGAGAACAAAATACTTAAATATAGTACAGATTTTTACATAACTATTGTCGACATTTAGACATGAATTTTGAATTATAAATAAATTAAATTAATAATAATAGATTCTTATTGTATTAATTTTTAATATAAATATGAAATTCCCAATTTTTATTTATTTTTATATTTATTAATTTATGGATTATTACATTTTTGTGTGTCAGAAAGTTTAATACAAGATTCCTTATAAGTTGATCTTACAACATTCTAAAAATATCGAAAATACACACAGCCAATATCTTATTATGGACAATTTGACAAAATTAGATATCGAAATGATTAATAACGATCTTATAAATAATATAATGCTGTAATTTAAAAAATATTTAAAATAATCTTGAGCTATTTTTTTGATTCGTTTAATAGTTATTCCCACAATACTAATTTACATTAGCATTAGTTTACATAATTTATAAGCTTTGTTTTTGGCAAAAATAATTTCAACTTATCGAATTGAAATAATTATGAAATACGTCTTGTAATTAAGTAGAGTATAAATGCTTAATCCAATCATAACATAAACTATCTTTAAAAATGGAAACTGATCGATTCGTCCCTTCACTCAAAATCGTTATATGGTACACAATAATTTATTGTAAAAATCCGTAATTTTCAATTAAAAAAAACAATAAAAATTAAACATATTAAAAATCAAATTATATATATATTATATATTTTAACTAATTTTACTCATACGATATCAAATTGATGAATTGATCAACTATCATATTTTTTTTTCTTAATACTACACTTAAAGTTAGTGACACATATCATATTATTCATAAGTACCTAGTACCTACTGTAATAATGTAATATTATCAACATTTATTAAATAAAATACATTTTGATTTATTTTTTAAGTACAAACTTCAATTTTAAACTTGTTCCATACAGTGTTAAGACAAATAGAAATTTTAAGATATAACCGATATAATGTTAATGATTATTTTGATATATTAACGAACGGTAGGTTTTTTTTGACACTTGACAAGTTGCATTTAACATATTATATTGTTAAACTTAAATTAATTAATCATAACTAGTCTCAAAAATAGGTATCTACTTAATTAGAGTTCTTAATACGTTTAATCAAAATTCGAAATAGCTCAATGTAACATGTAAAACATATAAAACATATAAAACGCATGGTAATAAATATAATAAATTAATACAATATAGAAGTATATTATTGTATGATTGGGAAAAAAATATTTTTTCACGTGAATCGAAAAACAAAGTACTGAGAATGTCTACTATACCTACATATAAATTTTAATCATCAAACAACTATTAATAATTTATCTAAAGTTTAAAAGATATTAAATATAAATATATCATTTATTTTCTTAGTATAGATACACAGTCGATAATTTAAAAAACAGTTTCGATAGTTCTAGTTATTTTAAAAGAATCCCTACTAAGGTTAAGATGTTTATATTACTTTAAGCATCTAAAGATTGCATCCAAATGTGTTTAAAAAAAAGTCGAAGTAAATCATATTCGTTTATTCATAAACAATAATATATTTTTAATATTGAAATGTTTATTATTTAATTATTACTTTTAACAAGTTCTGATTAACTTACGATGTTGTGGCGTTGTGCATAAAACTTTGTCGATTTGATGAAAATCTTATACATTATATTCAATATTGATAAACTAACCTCATTATTAAAACTGATCAATACGACTTAATAGCGAAAAGTACCACAAAGTAATACTCGGTAGACAAAATGCTTATCAAAACAGTTGATCGTAAAACTAAACAATAAAAAATTACTAATAATTAGAAATACTTTTTTAAAAGTAACGTTTTTTGAGCAATAACATTTTTTTATAAATATTATGCGTATAATATCACTGAACAAATTAAATAGGTATAACTTAATGCATTACTATTAACTTTAAAAGTTTTGAATATTTATTTTAGTTATTAATCTATATTTGTATACAATATTATGATTTTTTGTACAATTAGAGTAGTTACTTAAATCTAGATGAGACGATTTCATAGTGTACTAAATCAACAAAACATAAAAATCAGGTAAAAGTGACTAAAATAATTTTGATTATATATTTTTTGATTACGTATGCTACATAATTCACAAGTTAAACATAAAGACAAAATAATGTGTTAAAAACTGTCGAATAACGTCATAGGTTTAGATTAAACGTATGTACATATTATGGTTATAAACGTAAATAGTAAACGCGTGTTCGTATAAAAGTTGTTGACGACGAAAATTGATTAAAATTAGCAAAAGTTCGGAGCAGAGAAACGGAAAAACGCCGACATAATATCTCCAAACATATACGTGATATAATAAAATATGCAACCGAACCGAACAGAAAACTTAACGCAATAATATCATTATATATTATATTTTATTGCACGACTGTACAGGAACGCTAGAAGATCGTGTGACGGGCAGCGAAAGGGACTGTGTCTCGTCAACTAAAAACCCTTTGTGGTGGTGGTTGATTGTGGCGAGTGACGATGGGGCGCGGACGTTCAAATAGCGAAACCACCCGGCGCAGGCGGATACTCTTCCGGTCTCTTCTTGACGGCGGCGTCTGGGGCGCGGGCGACCGGAAGCGGCGGCGGCGGTACATCCGGCACCGAAGAGCCTGCCGGCCTGTTGTTCTTCACGACCGTCAAATCCGCCGGCCTGTTGTTCTTCACGACTGCAGCCACGGATCGGGACTCGTCTTGGACACTAGACGCCTCCACGGCCGTCTTCAACGACGGATAAGGCTCCACGGCCGCGTACCTCACTTCAGGCCATTCGTAGAGGAACTGGAACGGACGGAATACGGGCGTGACGATCGGTTCCGCTTGACTGGGCAACAGACGCTGATCAGTGGTGATCAGGGCGTTGTAAACGCGCGGTAAGCGGCCCGCTTTCAACGCCACTTGTTGCGCGGCTGCGAACTGGGCCATAAACATGACCGTTACGATAACGACTACGGCGGCGGTGTGGCGGGATCCGGCCGACTTGGACGTCGCGGCCACCTGTTTGATGGACATCAAAGAAATTAGTAATGTGTAATATTACACTACCCACATAATACGATTTATGTAATCGTGTTTAAAAATTATAATAATCAGAGACGTCCCTTGACCATTTTTTCGCAGGGACGCGTACTATATTATATTAGTACTATAGTACTATATACATATTATTAAATAATATGATATGGATAACTTGAAAAACATGCGCGTCTACGGAATAAACGTTTAGCTGTTAGATTTCAACTCTCTGGAGTGATCAATAGTTTGCTTTTAGTAAATGATAAACCGTTCTCACTGTTCCGGATAAAAAAAAAAAGTATCTATAAAGAATATGATTAAGATAAAACTAAAAAAAGTGCTAAAAAGGAGAAAACAATTCCCCGTTCGTAGTTCTCTAGAAAACGCCTTAGCGTCTCTTCGCTACGCATACAATGTAAAAATCTCTATATATTTTTACTCTGCAAATAAGATACTTTCCTACACGTTTAAAAATTAACTTAACACATTAAATATTTTTTTTTAATGCTGGTTTTTTGCACATAATAAAGATTTGATCTATTTTATTATGTATTTGGAGATTATTATGACGTTCGTCGTTTATTGCTGTTTACAATAATAGTTACGATAACACAACAATTAACAAATAATTAAGTTTTTTCTGGCCCTCGAACATTTTTTTTCAAATTACCTGAACAATGGACTGCCATATAATTTAATATCCGACCCTTGCATTGTATATAAATAAATGGACATTCAGTTACATTTGTGTTCAATGCAAATGTGTATTTAACGTATAAAATTATAGGTATAGTATTCAAATTTTCTGATTCAAATCAAAATTCCTAATAATAACAATGTTTATGCTATTGACGACAGTACTTCTTTTTCTAAATTTCTTACCGAGCTAATTTCACTAATTGAACTCCTTCTCACTATTCTTACAGCTGTTTTACAAAATTTTACTATTTCATAATTTAAGGTTCTGCTTTTAATTATCCATATAATTCCACACGATCGGTTATCTTTATTATTATAGAATATTATTGGTCATTAGTAATTAATATTGATAATAATAAAAATAGGTGGCCTGGTGTGACGCGGTAGTTGGCCTCAGTCACTAATGTGTTCTGAGGTCAAGCATCTGGTATCGATAGCTCTTGGATGGGTAACCACCTGATTTCTTAGTGACGAATCCATGGTGCTACACACACATACACAACACGTGTTCCAACCTTACAAATAAACCCTATATAAAAAAACCTACTGTACCTTTCTACAGCTATTGGCCTTAGTTGCCGGGCTTAAAGAGATCAATAAAATAAATAAATAAAAATAGCCTTGGTATTTAGTTATCGCGCAGCGCCCACTATTATCATACTATTTTATTTTATATTACATTATTACGTCGTATTTCATGTTATTATTTACATATATATGTTTTATAACTATACAGTTTATTATCACGAATTCATGCTATAGTAAATAATAGAAAAAAATGGTATTAAAATTAGTTATTTTTTAATACAATGTGTGTACCTAATTAGAATATACGTCATATGCGTCTTGATATTTCTGATCAATATAACCGTTGAAACCAAACAAATTTAAAATTATTTTAAATACAACATAATATTACATTGTTTAATTATTAAAATAATAGTAATAATAAACTGTAAACATTATACAGATTTAAGCTTAAATTACTTTTACATTAAATTTCTTGAAGTAGATATATGCTTCTCAGACAGAATTGAATAATTTTTTTTAATCCAATTGGAATTTTAATATGAATTAATAACATACTTGATATTAACTGTTGCATTATGTATTGTTGTATAATTTATTTCGGATTCGGCAGCAAAATAGATTGCCTGTAAACAACGGACACGTGTGTTGTGAGTTTTTTCAGAATCAATAGTCACTCCTGATCGTTATGATTTATCGGGATCATCAAAATAATGGATTCATTTGTAAGACGTGTTAATGACCTATGAATATTATTTTTATTTAAGTTTCAATCGCGTATCGTATATTTAACAGATATAATGCGTAAACCTTGTGGACATTCGTTTCTTGCATACCTATCATACGATATACGAGGACAGCACAGTAAATAACACACGCGTCATCATCGGCCATTTTAAACATACGAGTATTATAATCACGTACACCAGGGTTCGGCAACCCGCGGCCCGCGGGCCGCATGCGGCCCACAAAGCAATTTTTAATGGCCCGCACAAAGGTAGTTAATTTTTGTGTTTTACTTTTGTTCAATAACATTTTTCATATAATTTTTAATATTATATAATTCTTTTTCCTTTATAAATAAAATCTAATCTAACCGTTTCATAATAGCAATACAATTATAAGTATATTATATCATAATATGCAATTTTTTTTTTTAATGTGGCCCTTGATGAACAATTGAAAAAAAAATGGTCCGTGTGGTTAAAAAGGTTGCCGACCCCTGACGTACACGATATAATTATTTTATGCATATTGTGAACATTTCATCTCTTTTCTAGAGTTCATTAAGATATTTGTAATTTTTTTCTGTTTTTATCATTTTATAAAATACCCATATTTTTATGGGTATCGAGTTCATTACGTCACAATTTAAAAAATATTCTATTACCAACAAATGCATTTTATAACAAAATACATTTATAAATACAGAAAATATTTATATAATGCTTATCAATATGTTTTTATTTTTTTAATCTTGATTTTTCTATAATTAGTTTAATTATCTTCATACCTTTTAAAATATTTCCTATCAAAATGAAAAATATTCAATATGATTAAATAATTTATTTTATTCACGTGTCACTCTTTACATTTTTTTTTTTTTGCATATCTAATATTTTATAGTAAAATAGTATCAATAAATGCATATTTTAATGGTTAAATATCATGTTAACTTTTTTGTATAAAAAATAAATAACAATTCTAAGATAAAAAAGTAGTTAACTAGACAACTAGTACTACGTATTCTTAACATTTACAGAAGTTAATATCTAAACAGTCCGGTATACATATGTTTTTAATAAAAAAAAGGTAAAATGAACTTTATGTTCTTAATTTTCACTTGGAATAAAAAATATGTCCCTAAGAATATTTATTTTTAATTTAAGAAATGTACTAAGATTGTTATTAAAAATTGAATTACGTATTATTTACATTGCATAATCAACTTGAACTTATCAATTTAAGTATTTCTAATAGTATTTAGGTTAACGCCAATCACAGTTAAATTTATAGTGAATGTAAAATACACATGTTGTTAAAACCCCATTTCATCATCAATACATATTAAAAATTATTTGACATACATTATTATTTTTAATATGTCCGGTTTTTTCTTTGTTATAACTTATATTGTTAAATTTGTACGTAACTATGAAGTTATGATTTTTTTTTTTTTTAAATCAAAAATATGTTCTTTGATCTAATATGCATAGTTGTATTAATTATTAAGAAATTTTGCTTAAATTAAACATTAAATTTAACATTTTATACAAGCGATTTTGCCTTTAAAACCAAACCGAATCGTTAACATATCATAATATGTTAAACGCAAGCAGTTATATTACAATAGGCCCTAATTATTGTTCTTCAATCAATTATAAAATAATTTAATTCCAAATTTATGTCAAACCAATGTTTATATTACCATATTTTTAAATAATAATAATATAATCTAGAAAATTTAGATATATCTTTAGTAGTTGATTTAATTGAACTATCGAAATATTGATTACATTATTTGGATGGAAATTTATCACGCATTTAATGAATAAATAATATTTTAGTTATAAGTTATAACTATTCAAGTTATAATTTATATTGTATTGTGTTTATAAAATATTATATAAAACATGAACAATATTGTGTTAGAAGTTGTTTAACTAGTTTATTTTATAAATTGAAATTTTCCTTGAACATACAGGTATAAAGTATCATAGTGATGAAATAAAAATGTGTTCATAGTGAATTATTATATAAATTAAGGTGTCTTATATCTACAATATTAATTTTTTTACCAAACCGATAAATACTTGTATAAAATATAAGTAGAGGTAAAAACAAGTAAAATTAAATTAAAATATAACTTTAACATTTATGTAATTTGTTATACACCTAAAATTATTTTACTTTAATAGTTTTGTTAAATTATATTTTGGATGGTTATATTTTGTATTAATTACATGCAATAAATAATGATATAACAAGTGAATGACGAATGTTGTTTAGTTTTAATTTTTAAAGGTCATAATAATATTAAAATACTTTATTATATAATAAAAATTATAAAATGACAATATTTATTAAATATTTATTTAAATAGTTAAAATTTTATCATAATAGAATTCAAATAATTTCATCTCTTGTTATTTTATTTATAATCTTTGTTTTTTCAAAGAAACAATCAGCTAAAAATGTATTCGATTTTTAAATCCTATGTTTCATATTTTTTCAAGGTTTATTATGTCTGACTATCCAAAAATAGAACTCTTCGAACAGTACCGTTAAATAAAATAGTCACGGTCTCTAAAAGTAATCTGTAAGTCTGTAAAGTACTTAATTATACTTACCTAATTATTTACTAAAAAAAAAATAATTAGTTTTATAAATACTATAAAATTTGATGATATAGGCTACACAGTAACAACTGTTTTATTAACTATTTATACATTTTTCATATATTTTTTTAAATTCTTTAATATGATATTTAATGATAATAATAAAAGTACTAAATTTTAAAATAACTTAAATAATAAAAATATAAAGTAGATATACTACAATAAATTAGAATATCTAGTTAATCTAGTTAATGATTGTAATATTCAACGTCTCAACAAACAATTATTAGAATTATTAGAATTCAAGAAGTTCAATTAAAATAATTATTTATATGTTGTCATTTTTAAGTATGTGATAGTTTGAACTTATTTTATTTTGACATAATTAAAATAACTTTACGCTTTTTATTCAAATGGTTATAATATACGATATACATTCCAAACTATAATGGTTAATGTATTTAAAAAAGAAAAAATTACAATATTTTCACAAAGAATACAAAAATAACCTTGTTATTCTGTTAAAATTATACATTGAATTAACAACTTAATAGTTTGTTTCATTTGTAAGGAAAATTTTACTGTCATAAATACCTACTGCTATTATTGAACTTTTTCTGATTATAAAAAATATAATTTTTCTACATACATTTAAAGTACAAAATAGTAAGATTACTCACAATTAAATACTTGACTATGGATAAAACTCGGTGTGCCACAATATGATTTTAATCAACAACAGTTTATAAAATTATAAAACTCGGTAACAAACGTCTACACTTGGTCAACAAGACTCGTGATATAGAACTACAATAAAAATTTAACATTAAAAAAAAAATATTCTTATCGCAGTATCGCACTTAGGTCAATTTATGTGGAACGATTAAAGTAAAAATTAATTCTGAATAGTTTAGATTTTGTATTTATCATTCTCTGTCCACCATAAACAGCTATAGATTATAGACGACTTCGAAACGACTGAATAATATTCTATACAGATCAAAATACAAAGTGGTTCTTAACCTTCAATTCTTATTTACTTAAAATACCATAAAAATAAATTATTTTCTTCGATAACCTAGTCATTGTTGTTTATTTACTTATATGAAAACTTTTTTTCTACGTTTAAGTTATATGTTTATGGATGTGTTAGTTAAAACCCGTATGACTGCATATTCAATTAGACTATTGTATAGATACAACTATAAACTATAGCTAATGACTATGCATACATAAATATTTACATAATATTTAACTCGAGAAAACAACCTATTTGTAATAAGAACATTTTTTTGATTAATAAAAACAAAAATTACAACTAAAAAAAAACCAAAACTGCAAATTTTACAACTCATTACTCAAATGTCAGTAATTTTAGAATCACAATTCACTAATTAAAGTATAAAACCATAAAATCGTTAATTGCAATTTTATAATTATTTTAAAAAATTTGTTGGTTTATCATTTATTTTTTTGTTATTAGTAAGCATGAAAAAAATATTTAAAATTTCAAAGTGGTGGTCAAATAATTGTTTTAAAAATTGTATATTACAAAATAACTATACACTTTCTTGCTGTAGTACAAATATTTATAATACTCAAAATAAATTATACTACAATTTTTTAAAAAAAATAAAAATAAAATAACGTACTATTTCATAGTATATTAACTGTGCACAAAGACGCAAAGAGACTTTTTATACTCGATAAACAATTTTGTAAAAATATACAATCCGATACCGTACTGAGTATTCATTTATAAACACAATAATAATGGATACCTATTACAATAACATCAATATAAAATGCAAATTCATAGTTACTAGGTACCTATTACCTACTTTCACATTAAAATGGAAAAATGTCTGATAATATAATAGCATAACCTAATAGACTATATAAATATATTTATATGTATATAATAATTTATAGGCATTCTTCGTACTTATATTTAATTGCCATTTATCATTATTATTTACAGTTTATTTTAACACTTGTGTTGTATGTGAATTAACTTTAATTAGAAACAATTATATAAGAACACTGGTTTCAAATTAAAATGTTATTCAAGTACAAATATTAATACATTTGATAATAACATTTCTATAAATATAAAACATTTAATTTTTCTATAAGAATTTAGTAAGTATTTTGTTTTAAAAATACATTTTTTTTTATATAAAACGCAATTTAAAATAATTTAGGTATTTAAGTATCTATATTAAAATAATTTGATATTATTGGAGCAAAAATAAATAATAAGTTACTATTTTAATATTTTATATTGTTATTGTTATCATAATTTTTATTATATTTTTATTTCAATGTATATTACTACCTATTACTCCATATTTGTTTTTATACTTTAAATCATTTACACTATTTATAAATTGTATAATAAAAAAAAATTTAACCATTTCTAAAAACAATATAAATATATAAATTAATTTTATATTTGGTTATAACTTATAACTTATAGCCATAATATGTTTTTTACCAAGGAAGTAAATTTAAATATTAGGGGTCCTTGAAATTTGTCCCCGCACATAAGTGATACCAACCAGGCACCAGCTATAGTAGGTATACTCGCTCTATTTACCCCAAGTTTTTAAGGATTAAAAAAACATATCTCCATCACAATATTATATAGGTAGTGACTGTATAGATTTTAAGTCCTTGAAGATAGACAGTAAAGTTGTTTATATTATCTTCACACTTAATAAATTTCACAATCCAGGAAGTTATAGGAAATATAATTGTCACTTTTATAAATACGCACTATGTATTCAAATGCTTATAATGCTTATATTTATGTTTATATTTTAATCAATATAAAAGATAATAATACATAAAACTATGTTATTCCTCTTTTAAATGTATTTAAGTATTATTTGTAGAAAAATATTTATACTTAAATTTTATTTTATAAATTTATTTACTGAAAAATACCTACCAGTTATTTAATTTATTATTATTTCCAAGACCTAAAATTCAAATATATATGAAAATCCCTAAATAATTTTACAATGAATTTTAATAATTTATATGAGTATTACGGTTATTAACTATTAACAATATAAGTTTTAAAAATTTCCAATAATGCTGATTTCTGAACGTGACAAACATGTGTATTTTTTAAAATTGTAAACATCAATCAATTCGAATAGGCCAAGTATTGACCAACCGAGTTTTAGGACTTATAATGTTTGATTACAGTTAAAGCTACTATACGATTTAATTAATCGATTCAATTATATTTTCTACTAATATTCTTACTAATTTGTCATCATAATAAAAAAAAAAATAAAACTACTACCAAACACTCATAATTAGTCCATTCTTTGAGCGGCCCAACCAGATTTTCTCGGTAACTCAACATCCCCATTTGGATATGTTCAATGCGCTTAAACTCTCTAACATTAAACTAATATATAAAGCTAAATTAAACATCATGATTGGTTCTACTGATAACAAATTTGTTATGTTACGCGCGTGAGTCAGAGAAAAAAACACAGTGCACACACATCATTTTACAATAAATATAAATCCGAGTATGTTTATAGAATGTGAGTAGGCATTATTTTTAAATGTCCTCTTAAGAAATATGCTTTTATATCTTAAGTTAAATTGAAATAAACTTTTAACTCGTGTCCTTCTTAGTTGTGAATATTAAAATGATTACCACTAAATAATATATTTTAAAATAAAATAGAATATTCAAATAATGTGTATATTCAAAATGTACTTATTTCTTTGCGTTAATATATTTTTTAAGTATAAAATCTGTTAGGTTAGATTATTTATTTTTTAATTATACCAGTATAGTTGAAAGCTCCTTTATTGTTAAATAAGTAAATTAAATATAGTCAACGGTCAAATATAAAAGATATTAAATACTTAAAAACAGTAAATAAATAAAAACCAAGTATACTTATTAGTTATTATTAGGTATTTAAATTGTATACTTTAGCATACCTTAATATTCATAATTGAATTCGGGCTGTGTTGGACGTCGATCGGACACTGTTCGGTTAGACTGCAGTTTTCAACGACACTGCCTGTACAGATACAAGCTAGTCAGAAGGCCACCGGGTCAATTTCCTGCCACTGTTAAACTGTTAATTGGTGTTGAACTCATAATTTCGTCGAGAATCTAAATAGGTGATTTGAATTCCGTTAAATAGATTCAATGGGAATAGTACCCAAACGACGAATTATAAGTAATGGCAACTTGGGCAAAACCTCAAAGATTAAGGTAGGCATTAGAGGATTAGCCAGAACCATTATAGTGGTATACCACATTGCTGACTGCAGTAACCACCAGTAAGCCATCTTCCAGCACGATTCTATAAAAAAGAATAAATTATTTAATAGTAATATAAATATGAGAACATACTAACATATCAAAATAATTAGAAACTTCGCAGCTTATGTGTACATTGAACTAGGTAGCTATATTATATGAAAACTGTAAAATTACACATATAATAATACTTATTAACCATTAAAAAAATATATACATTATACACATAGGTATTATTTAATAATTCCCATAATTATATTATTACACAAAATATATAACCACGATTGCGGATTAATCGACTTCTTAGATACTTAGTAACCATTGTAATCTAAAATTCATTAATTTTACTGTATAAATTGTTAAATTTGGTCACATAACAATTTAACAAACATAGTGCAGTCATAAAAAAAATATTATCATTTTACTTAATATTTATCTAAAAAAATTAACATGATAAAATTTAAAGATAATTAAATTATTATATCTATTTGGTTTAATTTTAAACATTTCAATTTAATTTTATCGCAAATTCACTAATAATAATGAGTAGGTACACAAAACTAATAATTAATCACAAGTTTAAATTAAAATTATTATTAATTAAATACAAATAATACAAATATAAGTAGATACTGGGTAGTATGAGTTTAATAATTAAATATCAAAGTACCTAAATGTGATAAAAAAAAAAGAAAATACATTTTATCAATTCAGTATACCTTTTCCAATGAAATATAATTTATAATCATAGGTGACCATTATAACTCCTATACAATTTCAGTGGTTATACATTTATTACTAGGTGAATACATTTTTAAATGAAACACTTATATACCTAATTATGTTTTCAATTTAAAAACTAATATAAATGTATTTAAAAAAAGTTAGGAATATGTGCATAGTGACCATGCCATAAACCTGGAAATCCAGACAAAACCGAACCATTGGTAATGCTAGGTACATATAATGATTATTATTATAGCAAAGTATTTTAAACCTTATGATGATGCGTCTTTAACCCATTGAATATCAGTACAGACTCATTTTACAATATATCATTATGTATCTATATGTAATAGGTACGTTTATTCGTTTAAATATTAAATGATTTCTACATTTATAATGTTTAGGACGTCTAAAATTCAGCTCTGTATAGCTAGATACCAAATGCAATATTTAAACGTAGGTACAAAATAAATACAGCCTCTTCATTAACTTTACAAATACTATTAAGATTCATTAGTCATCATTACTAGACACTATAAGATTCTAAATATTGACATCAACAGTAATTATAACCAACATCGAGCAACACAATTTAAATGTGTAAAGCGTGCAATCGAAGTATAATTCGTTCAATTGAGAGAACCAGAAAATTGAATAACGTGATGGGATACCCGCGTGATTATATTTTGTTCATCCCCATTCAATTTAGACAAGTTCTTATACAGAGTCAAATTTAAGGTAGTTCAATAGTTTTGTATTTCTCTAGTAGTAATTTCAAAGGTGTGGCCAACCTTAAATTATCGAATACATTTCAATAGTTAGTCCTATTAAACTAAATTGTGTTTTATCTATGAGTATTAAAAATATTATGTAAATATAATTTTTTAAATAAATATATTCAACATACGTATAATACAAAAACATAATTTTATCAAGAATTGTTTTTTTGAGGGGATGACTTAATTTTGCGTTTCCCGGGAGATGGGAAAAGTCTACCACTATTATACCAAGCTATAAATGTATATGTACATGGTCTAAAAACTACGAGAAGTTATGTCATATACGCGTGTCGGTGACCTGGATTACACCAGACCGTCAAGATATTAAGCAATAAAAGTGGTAAATTAGGTATTATTATTAATCCGGTCAGGCGGCGGCCGTCGTAAGTTGATCGTGGTAAAAGTGAAAGACTGCAGCGCGTATAATAATATAATATTATATAGGTATACCTTCTACAATATAATAGCTACCAACAACAGTTCAAGGACACATGAAACTAGTCCTTGTCATGGGAGGATTGTCTGCCAATATAGACGTCATCATATTATCAGATATCCCCTCTACTCGCAAAAATTAAAAATTTAAACGCATAAGACGATGGACAAAAAATATTATGCCTATCAAGTTGGGTTGTTTTTACAATACCGGTTAATAATTTAGAAAAACACGAAAATGCATCTTTTATACTAACACGAGTATGTGTGAACATTCAATAAGTACTTACCGCTTACAGTATAATACGTGGTCTGTGTGATCGAACGTCGTGCAGTTCAGACGACGGCGGCGGCGGCAGAAGAGCGCGCCCGGTGCGTTTGGGCCAAAGTCTGCTGAGATACTGTGCCGACCGCATGTACCACGCGATGTTACCTCCTATCTGACAAGTCTCGCCGGCTCCGACCACAATACTTTTTTATGTTGCAATTATTAAAATAATAAACCTACATATTAGTATTATTGTTAATATTATATTATATTATCAATATAATAATAATAAAATTTTTACAGTCATCGGAGACTGTATGGTAGGAAAATTTGTCATTTTTATTCATAATCCACATATTATTATTGTTATAATTCAAAGTTTAAGATATTCATTGTCACGGTATAATATTGTCGAAAATAACGATTACGTGCTTGCAAATACTTCATTTGCAAAAAGTTTACTTGTTTCGTTCGTTAACAAAATTAGAATTAAAAATATAAATAAATAAATACATTTTAAGTATTATCATGTTATACAAAATTTTTTATAATTCCTTAAATTCAAAATAACTCATAAACGTAGAATCCAATTTCTAAATTCTTAATAATATAAAATAGGTTACATAAGTGGTATGATTCCCGAAATATTTTGTAATTTTTATTACTTATTAATTTGTTTGCGAATTGTCGTATTTAAATAAATGTATAAATGTATTATATTATACACTAATAATTGAAATATTTTACTTTTTTTAAATGAATACATCAGAGGTCATAGATTGGCAAGTACTATAGGACATAGGTAACAAATTATCTAAAACATAATGATAAATCAATTATATTATATTAAATTTGAAGAATTGTGTAAAAAGCCAAGTGATTAGCTTTTTGTTTGTTGTAGGTCTAAGCATAAACTACTTAAAATATAGTACAAAGTACATTTAAATATTTACATTTATAAAACGTGATTACGGTAAGCTGAATTTAATAGCAGAATTGAATGTAGTTTAAAGTATGAACCATTATAATTTGTTACTAACAAATACATTTGTTCTAGTTAAATTATTTTAATGATTTAGATGCAGATTTCTTTTAAATACAAAATGCTAACAGTAAAATGTTTAAGTATTTTTGTATGTTATTAAATTTTCGCTGTTAATAATATTTATTTTATTTTTAAGCAGATAATCGTAAAAACTCAATTATCGACATCTCATCGTCGACTTCCGCAAACTCGTTATAGTGATTAGTTTTTATCATACGGTTTGTTTATTTTTAGTGTGATTACATTGATTATTCAATAACAAACATAATAATTATTGTTGCACGGTTGGTGTCGACGAATATCGTTATCCTTCGCACACGTACACACATAATTTGCTTTGGCTTGTTGTCCTCCGACGGTAGCTGTAACAACACTAAAACAGTAACGGAATGACGGTCACGGGTCTGTATAGAGCCTGTAATCGAAATTAGGAACGACCGACGGCATACAGGAGGTGATGAGACAGCCGCCGACAAGCGATCGCCATAGGACGCGAGCTGACCGCGGTCAGTGACGACTAGGACGCCAAATAAATTAGCTTACTGCGTGCGGTAACCGCCGAGACTGGGCCGTGGTCATGAAACGTCCCGTGCTATTAGCGGCTAGTTCTGCTCTGCAAAAGGTATATTCGCGCAGATATGCGTTCGAGTGACCGGCCACCAGCACCTGCAGTCGGTGCAGTGTCATGCTGTGAAGACTGGCATTTAGTGTCATTTACCTGTCGTCCGACGCGCCGCTGACACCATTCGCTATCCATCGCATTTTACTGTCGCCCCGCACAGCCCGGCGGTGGCGTTCGAGCACTGACGACTGTCCGCCGAACAGGTTTCCAATCGCTCTGACCAGTACCGAGTACGACGAAGATCAGCGGCAACGGGAGTCGGAACAGTAACACACAGAAGCGGCCGTTATCTGCAAGACGGCGTCTAAACGGGCGTTGAAGCTTACGTGTGGTAGCCGTCGTCGACTTCTGTCCGGACGGAAGAAGATCCGATATCGTCATTATACGTCTGCGATGCCCTGCGAACACGCGTTTCCGATAGACTTGAACTGCCGTGTCGCACTGAACATGTGCTATATCGTTTATTTTCATATCGCTAAAAATGGACCTGCGGCCTTCAGCTCTGGGAAAATACGAAAAAATGAAATATTTAAAAAATCCAAACCTTCCAAAATATTGCTCTTAGAAAACTAATGAATACTCCACCCTACAAGTCAAATCATACTCTACACACAGATTGAAAACTTAAATCAATAAATTATGAAGCAAAAATCTATTATAAAAAATTCTACAACCGATTAACAGTAATCATCCAAATCAATTAATAAAAAACTTGGCCACTCTCACAATACCTGAAAATCCTCCGAGACGTAAAAACTCCCTAAGCGGAAGTGGTGTCGCGATCTTTAAATTAAATTAAATAACAAGCTAAGTGTCATCAATGGGTGGCTTCTTTCTTCAAAAACTCGTGACCTGTCAACTGGTTCTACATGAAAAGTAGTATATAAAATAACATAAAAATATAATATATTTGATGCATAAATAAGTATATAGATTATTTGCTGGTGTGGTGTTAGAAAAATACATACAGATAATACAGGCGAATAGCTTGTAAAGAGATTTATTCATAAACTATAATTATTATTTTTTTTATATTCGTAATAACTAAAGGCAGGTACACACCGGAGCATTTAGATTTAATGTAACGCCGTAATTATGTAACTATAATGCTCTAGTGTATACGCTGTTCATAGGCGCACATAGAGGGGTGCTTGGGAGTGCTTAGCACCCCCAGGCTTCAAATCGGCACCCCCAGTTTCCTGTAAAATTTATTTCAGTATTTTATCAATCATTTGAAAATTATTTCGATTCATTGAGTTGAAATTTTTTTTCCATTACAAATAGACAATATTATGTAGCTTATGAATTCACGATTAATAATGTATTGATTGTATTGTATGAATGCACATTGCACTGTTCCAGTTTTCGTCTAAACGTTGAACATTAACAACAATCATATAATAAAAATTTGCATTATCTAACAGAAAATTAAATCTTGTTTAAAATTAATTAGTGATTAGATATTATTATTATTATTATTATTATTATTATTATTATATATATAATATAAATACATTTTAATATTAATTATAATAATTAAAAATGATTAGAATGCAGTTCACTATGGTATTAGGGGGGTGTGGGGTGCAGCCCCCCATGGATCTGTTTACTGTAAATTATTCCAGCACCCCCTAAATTCATACCCAATGTGCGCTTATGACGGTGTTACTGTATCATTCGTGGGTGCGCGGCTCGCGAAATCGTCAATCCACTCGAGCGTCGGTATTTTGACGAATATCAAAGGAATATTACATTACGATACGACACTAATGTGTACGGTAAACCAGTTGCTCACAGTGAATCACCCTGATCGCTTTACCTCTCTACAGAGCTCTTTTAATAAAAATTGTTTTTTTGTATTAATTTAATTTAAATTTAAAAAATGGATTGGAACAATAAAAAAGTGTTAAAACTCATTGAGTGCTATAAAAATAAATCAGTACTATAATGGTTCCTAAAGGACCCAAAGTACTACAACAACACCGTCGCACACAGAGCACTGATGCTTGTTTGCACTTATCACAAATAGCAAAAATAATGTTGTAATGTAACATAGTCCCGTGTTTTATTTTATTTGTTTGCGTTAAATGAAACTATACTATTATAGCTTATAGGAAAAATCAGGAAAATTAGTGTTGTTATGAAAAAAAACCTAAAAATGTAAAAACAAAATTAAAACCAAGTTAATTTTAATAGGTATAGGTACTACATTAAAATATCCCCATCTATAAAATAATATGTTATATGAGTAATGTGTATATTTATCATTTATGTCTATATTAAACGTTGAAAGTATTATTTTTAAATAATAAAGGTTTGTTTTATCATTATTATATTTTTAACATATTCATGACCAAATTATTTGTCCCCTGTTGGTCTGACAAAAAAAAAAATGTTTGGCCTAAAATATCGACCCAGTTCGCCCAAGGCAGTTACACCATCCCTCAACATTGATCAACACTGCAAAATAGTCGGCAGACACACGAATAGCAATATTAAATTAGGCTTACAACGGTAAGCGACCGTTGTACATTCCGGTCAATGACAGCGTGACGGGATCGCGGGTGTCGTTTACTCAGGTGCAGCCGCACTCGATACATCACTGCGGTGCGATGACTTGGGGTACAGTCACGATGGACAACAGTACTATAGGGCCGTTAACGATACGGATGCAGATAACTGCGAGGCCCTCGGTTTAACGATGAGGGCGATGACCACTTATTAGTGACTAAAAATTGCACAAAATGTGTTTTGTTAGGAAAAAATGTAGATACCCGACCCCTGAACGCTATTTATAATTTAGCTCTATCTGCAGAAATCGAAAATCTTTAAATTATTTTATGGTATTGGGTAATTGGCTTACTAATTTTCACTAAATTTAACTATTGAGTAGACAAGATGAACAAACACTTATTTAAAAAAATGTTGTTTAACTATAGATAGGTACTTATGTATTTTTTAAGTAGACAACTTACACTTGTGGATTAACATATAGATTGATAATAATTAGGGCTAAGAACTTCTAGTTTTTTTATATTTTTTTTAGAAAGATCGTAAAAAAATTCTAGTGATCAATAAATGTGTTTCATAACACCGGGAGATTAAATTTAAAATTTTATTTTGCATATTTTTGTATATTTTGTCATTATTACATATAAATACATATTTGAGTATATTAGAAAAATTAAGAACATATTTGGCAATTTTGGCAATTAGTAACATTTTCCATTTAAAAATAATATTTTTATTATTGACGTTAGATAATTTTTACTAACTGACCGATTAAGTCGATAAAACCAAAACGCGTATAGGTAGTGAACTTCAGTTGTCCGTCATATTTTTATTTCAAAATGAAGGAGATGAAAACAAAGAAAAAAAACAAAAAGATCAAGACAACGAAAAAGTGAAATTTCAAGTACTTATTAATAAACTTATCATAATGTAATTTTATTAATTTTTTTTTATATAAATATTATAATTAAACAAAATAATAAAATAAAATAATTTTTTTAGAGCATATTTTTTGATTTTTAAATGTATAAATGCATGCATGTTTTTAGATTTTTAATTACTAGAAGTAGTCCTCAGCCCTATTAATAATTAATGAGTTATGATATCATTACCAAATTGTATACGTACAAATATTCAAAAATGCATATAATAAACAGAGTTAAAATGGACCACTCTCCCATTAATATTCATTTGCTCACCCTAAGAAATTCCGCGCTTTTCATCTGATACCTCTTAAAAGCTGTAGTGCGGATGCGGTAACCTACCTACTACAATAAGTTTTTTTTTTATTTTAGAGATTTATAAACATGTACATAAAAAAATCAAATAATTTAAAGATATCTCAAGTCACAATTACTAAAGAAGTATCGAACTGTATTGATTTCATACTAAGTGATACTTTTTATTGTAAGTATCTATTAACGTTAATTACAAAAAATATGTACTATAAATACATAGATATAAAATAAAACTAGATTAGTATGGCTCCCCTTGAGAAAATATATAGTTACAATTATATGTAGGTAGATAGGTACTTAACTAAAATACGAATAATTAATATTCCGAACTTCCGACGAATGAACCGAACCAACATCCAAATTGGTAATTCGACTTGTGTGTTAATGAGAAGACGAGATGTGCAATGTGCCATTGTGTTGTAATTTGTAATATCTTGTCTCGACAAAATTTGATTTAAAAAAAAATAAAAAAATAAAAATCCAAACGAAAGACGATTTCAACCAATATGGCACTGTTTGTTTTCCATGAAAAGAGCGCAAAATAATAAGTTGGTCTGACACCGTGGCATCACCATTTATTATCACAGAATAAAATATATTATACTCGTTTTTTGTACGATTATCCTGTGATTATGACTGGCGATTGTCGTGTACTCGTGTGATGCGTGGCCGCCGTGGTGACTGATAAGACGACACTATCTGTGATTTGTGTAAACAATAATAATAAAGTATTGTATGTTTGCATGTATAACAGAAAACAGATTTCCTACTTATGTATTTTATTAGCTCACACTGTTTGGTAGTTAGTGTTCATTTTATTGCACATCATTAATTGTTTGAAAAACGCTGGAGTGGAAATTTGTTATTTCGTTGAACGTTCAGTATCAGAATAGGTATTGTTATCGGTGAACATTTGAAATTACAAATAGTTTCAAATATCGACTGTCTACTGTTTGAGCTATGCGAATCATTGTTGAACGAAATACCACGCTTAGTTTTACTCGATGTCAACGTGCAACGTGACCACCAATGCACTTTAGATGAAAATATTTTCTCAATTTATAGTGCTAGAAGACATATTCTTAAAACCGACAAAATGAGGAGTTAACATTTACTTGATTCCTTCTGGATTTCACCATGTATTTTACCAATTTAAGAATACTGAAGGTACTCTCGTTATACAAGTTTCGCTTGTGTATTGCATTTATTGTTGTACTCAGTTTTTGGCAAATATTTAGAGCTATAACAAACAGTAATAAACAGGTAAATTAATAAGCACAAATATATATTATTTTAATAATTGTCAATATTTGAGATTTTTTTCCTTCTGTTAATATAATACATTATTCATATCTTCTAAAAGATATTATTTGAATTGCAATTTCTCTATTATAGTTACATTAAACTTAATAAATATCTGACATTTTAATATCTTAATAGTTTTGCTGTATTTTAATGATAATATAATATTTTGTGATTTTCAGAAACTAGTTCATTCTCCACGTATTCTGAACAACGACAACTCTTTAATGGAAAACAGTGTTAAAGATTTAACATATCTTCCAGTTGGTATATACTATGAAGCATTGTGCCCAGATTCGAGAAATTTTATACTTCAGCATTTAGTTCCATCTTTTAATAAAGCACCTAACAGTTTTGATATTGAGTTTGTTCCTTATGGGAAAGCCAAGGTAATTATTGAATGATAGTTAATTGGTTGGTTACATAATTATAATTTATGGCAATATAAATAATATTAAAAACACAACAAAAAAAGACATTTTAAATATTTATAATAAAAATTAATATTTGAAAAAATTAAAATGTCGGTTGATTGCAAACTAATGTAAAATCAACCTCTCTAAAATACCATGACTACTTAGGTAGTATTGGCACTTTAATGAACTCTTAATAAATTAATGTTGACAAATACTTAATTGATACATCTATCAACATTAATAAAACATACACGTTTAGTTTCTAGTAATTACTAGCAATGTTAAATATATCATCAAAAATACATCTTCTTCATAACTCTTATACCATAATTTGTGTGCAAATTTATTATAAAAAATTGAAAATTTAATACAATAAATTAGAAAAGAAAACTAAAATTCAAAAATTAAAATAAGCAATGAAATGAAATTAAATACATCTGAGTATAATTAATCTTTTTATAATATTCCAAAAGAAGCGTTTACTTTAAAGTCTAAATACTATTTATTAATAATAAAAATGTTATTATTTAGACACATGAAAATTCTGATGGATCAATCACATTTGCTTGTCAACATGGACCAATCGAATGCCATGCAAATAAAATTCATTCGTGTGCCACTCAACATATAAAAGATAAAATTATTTTAGTCAAGTATGTATCATGTATGATCGATAATAATTATGATCCAGAAATGATTGGAATGTTAGTAAGTAAAAATAAAACTTTATGTTCAATAAAACAAAATTAAAATTAATTAATCTTAATTTGTCTTTTTTAGTGTGCCAAGAAATACAATGTGAATTGGAATAAAATTTATGCTTGTTCAGAAGGAAAAGAAGGTGAACTATTATTAAAGTTAAATGGTGAAGCAACGGATAAACTGTCGCCTCAAGTTTCATTTATCCCAACAATTTTGATTAACCATGTAATTACAATTATTTTCTTAATCAATTATATTAATTGGTGATTAATATTTTATAATTTATCATTAGGAACAACCTAGACAAGCTTCTGTCTTAAAAGATTTTTGGGGTGTTGCTTGCAGTTATTTCCCTCCAGTAAGTTCTTTATAAATTTACCTAATAATTTAAAAATAAAATGTTTAAACTATAACTAAAATTGTCTATTGATGATTTATTTTTAGGAATCAAAACCTGTTGCTTGTTAAATATTGATAACCACCAATTTTTTTTATTGACAATTGAAGGGCTACATTCCAAAACGCACTATTGCCATTTTTATCGAAATCGGGTTAGATATCGATTCTTATGGTAAATATGCTGAGAAATATGAATTTGGAATTGTTTTTTCGATATCACGATTATTTTTTCAGTGGTATCGATCTTAAATTCGGTATTTGTTTCAAAACGTGCTATCGCCTATATTATTAGTTTTCAAAACGTTCTATTGCCACTTTGTTCCATAACGTGCTATTGCCCATAATATAAATATAGAACTCAACTAGTTGTTACGTCAAAACGTCCCATTGCCATATATTATTCCAAAACGCGTTATTGCCAATCTCAAAGCAAAACGTACTATTTCCCATACTAATTACATAGGACATAAATTCTCTATTTTCCAAAACGCGCTATTACTTTTTGATAATTTTAACATAAAATTAATTTCGATTTTACTTTGTTTAAATAAATTTGAGTATTAAATTTGTAAATACGATTAATTCCAATTTTATGTTCATAACTTTATCAACTCGATGAAAAAAAAAAATCATTCCTAACTTCATTTGATGATAAAAAAAAAGTGTTGTTAATTTGGCTGTTTACCGCCAAAAGTTCATTGATAACGTATTATGCATAATATTGCATTAACTTATCACAAAGGATAAAAAACTGATGAAAAATAATTTATTAGTTTTTGAAATACCTTTAAATAAAGAAAAAGATTTTCAAAATGAATCGTCGCTCCAAAAAACTTGTACTTGCTGCTATAAGTGTAAGTATTTTTTCATTATTACATATTATATCTATGAATATAATAAAGTTTGTCATCAACCTATTATCATAATAAAATGTTTTGTTATTGTCAGTAACTACAGTATTTAATTATAAAAAATATTGTTATAATACATTACTAATAAAAAATTGTATATCATATTTTTTTTTGTATCTGGTTAATATTAATAACAGACAATATACTTGTATTTTTCAAACAATAAAATTTTCATAATATTTATTAAATCTAGTATAGTGCGTTTTGAATTAATAATGATTCCATGTATTACAAAATGGACTATTGCCCGACTCAGTCCAAAACGTACTATGTGTTGGCAATAGTTCGTTTTGACACAAGAGATAAATTTAAAACCTTAATTAATTAACTTAAAACTTGATAAACATGAATTTTGACAATTCAAAGCTATTTCTTTTCTTATAATATATTGATAAAAATCATCAATGTAAACTCATACATAGAATTTATACCAAAAACAGTTTTTCTTCTTTCCTGAAAAGTTTGAATTTTGGCAATAGTGCGTTTTGAAATGTCGCCCTTCAATTAAGGTAAACAGTATTTTATTATAAATTATTAACTTATTGTAAGTGAATCTTGTGATATTTAAATTAAACTTAATACTTTTTTTTTTGTTAATTTTTATTTGAATCATAATATTTGTTGTGACCATAATTGATGTATTATATGTACTATATGATATAAACTAAGTATACTATATAAATAAATAATACTACATTATGTACATTTAATATGATAATTATACTGTGCTTAAACTTTTTCACTAAGTATTATATTATAAAATATATTTTATTTGCTCTACAAATTTTCTGTGTAATTTATTTAATAATATATCAGTTTTTTCTTCTAATTTTACTTTTTATATTATTATTTAAATTTCAAATAATTATTAAAAATACTTGACATGATAATATTTAAAAAAAAAAAATCATATTTATGGTCTATTTTTTTTTAACCATATTTTTGATATGTGTATTCTATATCTATCTTAGAAATTCTAATCATAAAAAAAATTATTTATAAATTTTAGTTAACTAGCAAATATATTTAAATTTCAGAGTTAAAATAGTTGTCAGTATCAAATTAAAAAATATATTTAAAAAAAAATTAAGATGTTATTCAGTTATTGACTGAATAAAATTAATGCATTGAATTATCTATCATTTATTTAGTAATTTAAATTAATATTTTCTTATAGAGGATACTATAATAGTTTAAATACATATTTACAAATTTTTTTTTCCGCGTTTATCTTTGGCTTCAGGTCTTAAAGATAAGTCGCACTGTATTGTGGTATTATACTCTAGGATACATATATTCCATCCTCTATTTTTAAACCATACATTATTTGCTACACGATCACACTCCTGTTTCCAAAATTTCTTATCATGTATACCCTTGTTAGACGAATACATACTCTTGGACTTACATTTTTAAATGATTTATTACTAAGAAAAGTAGACTCCTTATTTCCTAAATCTAATTAACTTCAGAATACTACATTGAAACTTGATAAATATTACTCCTTTTTAAATTATGCCATGCATCTCTAATTATTTAATGAATAAACCAGTGGTTTTCAACCGGTGTGCCGCGAACGCCTTTGAAGTACATAATAATATGCTGCGATAAATCTATTAATGGAGTTAATTTTGTATATATATATATATATATGTATTATATGAATTTGTATGCCGCAAAAATGTTGTAGAAGAAGTGTGCTACATTGTTTAAAAGGTTGAAAACCACTGGAATAAATCAATCAGAAGCCTAACGTATCTTGCCAATGTTGACGCTTCCTTCTTTTATTAAAATTTTTACTAACTTATATGCATACTCGTTTATTCATAACTTGTAATACATTTTTATATGTATTTCGTAACTATAATTTAATTGTAATATCTGTACATATTTAATGTTTTCTTTAAAAAAAGCTAGTTCCATAAATATGATAATAAATAAAGGTTTAAATATTTAAAAAATGGCATTACATTCAGTCTTTTTTCTTTGTAATGGTTGAAATATGATAATTTTTAATAAATAAATTTAATTTTTATTTCTTTAACTATATATTTAATTCTTGTTAACTGAATTATCATACATGCATAATAATAACAGTATTGAAAAAAATAATTAAATTTTTAAAGGTATAAAAATTTCAGTTTACTAATTAAGTGATAAAATTATATCATTTTTGGTAAAAATAAAGATTTTTTAGTATTTATAACTTTATATATACACTTAACATAAACTGTTATTATAGATTCCTATATATACCAGTTTGTGGCAGATATTTATATATCATAACTTTTACTATAATATGCATTGCATTATTAATACTTATAATAATACTTTTATAGACATTGAGTGATTTGTATATTTTTATTAAAGTGCCTCTGTGAAAACGAAATACAATGCAATGCATGGAAATAAGAATAAATATTAACTGTTTAAATGTATGAAATATATTAAAACAATTCCAACTCTTCCCATTTTAAAGTATTTCAAAACATATTTGTATACAAAAATAATATTATACCGAAGCATTGTGTTTAATATGTAGCTTATACAGTGTTGGGACTTGTGATGTACTTAAATAAGTTATTAATATATAGGTACCATATTTTACTTTTATTCTTGAATACTCAATTAATTATTAAAATATTCAAGTATTAATTAAACAATTTATGTGGTCAGCTAATATTTTATCATTAAAATAAAACATCTCTGTTAAATTGGGTATATATTAGTTTCCTAGAAAATTTAAGCATTCATTTCACAATTATTTTCTTTGACCGCTATATGAATATAAAGGTACTATAATTGTCCAAATATTAAACACACATTTTAATTTGTAGATTTACTTAGTTTATTTGTAATTGAAATGTATAGATAATCAACATAAATATAGTCAAGTAATATTAATTAATAATTATTTCCCAACAAATATGTATATTGTTTATGATATATCTACCTGTTCCAACAGAATATTTTCTATGCTATTAGGTACTTTGTATTTAAATATAATATTTACTTAGTTGAATGAGAATAATATTTCACTATTAATCTTTTAAAGACTGATTAAATTTATGTTCACAATATTCTCGTGTTATAGACATAATTATAATACAATGTATTATTTATAATATAAACTAACTAAAATTCAAAATAAAGTAGATGGTTAGTAGTTAAAATAATATCAGCATAATTAATATTTATTTTAATTTTTATCTATACAAATATATTGTATAGTATAATAAATTTGTTTTTATATAAGTATATTCATTTATAATATAGGTTGATTCTAAAGTATAATTTTAATGATATAAGAAAAATGAATAACAGTTTTTATACCACTTATGTAACAAAACATATCCGATTTTCACCAAATTCAATCCTTAAGCTAGGTGCAGTATATATAAATAACATACTATACTTAACATGGAAGTTTAAAATTCCTCTAAAAATAAACATATTAAATTTTGAAAACAATACTATTAAATAATAACCATCTCTCATTATATAAATATATATATAGCACCCCTTACTTTACATATTATTTATTATTTTTAATAGAAAATATATGTTTAAAAATAATAAATCGTTATTTGTGAAAATTTAAATAACAATGATTAATTATACAATACAATTTTTAATCTACTAATTTGAAACTTTTTGGCAAACACCAATTATAAATGCAATTGGAAACACAAGTAGTAACTAATTAATTTAGGGATACTTGTATTTGAGTATTGAAGTTTATAATTTCTGTATTATGTGATGATTGTGATAATGTGAGATAATAAATTAATAAGAAATAAAATTAAGTAATAAGTATTTACTAATTTCCTCAAATATTTCTACATTATATTAAAATTCTTCTAATGTGCACTCTGACGTAATTCATTTTTTTTTATTTTTAACTAAAATTTGATAAGCATTTAGTTATAGAAAATTATTTATGATAGGTATATTTGATACAAAAATAGGTAAATATAAAGAAATTAATATCCTGTTTCAGTGAAGTATCAAGTTAAAATATAACCATCATACAATTTATAATTTATTAAAAATTTTTGTCAAGTAGGTACAATATTGCGATATTATGTTTAATATCATATTACTATATAAATAGGTAGTTTAATCTTTATTATAAATTCCCTTTATATTTTAACATGCTATATCTCTAAATAAAAAAAAAAAAATTTGAATTCAAAACATTGTAATTATAATAATTTCTAATAGTTTAACTTAACCACTGTGCTATAAGAATCATTCAATATACAATACTAAATTGGTAGTATAAGTAATAGTTATACATTAATTAATTTATTATAAGATATATAGTATATTTATTTAATATAATATGACAATTAAGTTAAACCACAATTTTTTTGAATAAACATAAATTGGAATGTTACCTACTAATAAATATTTAAATTCATTCAAATTATACTGTAGTTATTATTAATTGTATTTAGTTCCTTTGTAAAATTAATAATTGATTACTTACAGTGTCAGTCCATTGAAATGTATTACCCTTACATTATAATCATTCATCACATACCAAATATTTATAAATTATAATGTACAAATTATAGTTTTAAATAAAAATTTAAATATAGAGCTGGTTGGCTAAGTATTGTTGCAGTAGAGTTAATTTTAACGTAATATAATACATTTAGATTATATTAACTCAAGTTAATATTTAATATTATATATATAAATTAATTAATAAGCACAGTAATTAGTTTACTTTATGAATTCCTAGATCTAATCAATTGTACTAAAAAATAAAACCTAGTACAAGATTGGTTTTTGTTCTTTGGGTTTAAAATAATTTACAAAAATATTTAATTATATTATAATTATTTTTTGTATATTCAATGGTTAGAGTTTATAAATTAACTAATGTATGCTTATTTTACACTTGTCCAACTTCATTAAGTTTACACTAAATGCATTAGATATTAGTATTTTATAGTTTTATTAATAAGACTAAACTATTTGTAACTACAACATATTTTATAAATTTAAAATCTTCTTTTTTTAATATTAAAATATAGTTTGTGTACAAACATACTACTAAAATTTTGAAAATATTTTAATAAATTTATATGTAAGATAGGTGGACGAAGAAACTTCTACATAGATGATTTGATTTGATTTACAATATTTAATTAGTATTTTTGTACTGGGGCCCAGTAGTCTTTTGTATAAAATAAAACAAATGATTGATTTTAAAATTAGGTATTATTAGCTGTAGCCTGTAGGTAATATAGTGTAATTCGTGTAAGTTAAATATTTATAATAGATACTTAACTGATATTATCTATGTTATAATATTCTATAGTATAGTTTAATTAAAATTAAAAAATTGACTGGATAATGTCATCAACATGTAATAATAAATGGTAGATACACTTGTTGATACCATAGCTATTCAATTCATGAAAATTTATTCGATACACCCTATGCGTTTAGGTACAGCACCACAATCAAAACATTAATACTGATTATCCCATCTTTGGTCGACAGTTTATATAATTTATGTAATAATAAAATAATATAAATTAGGTAACTCAATTATAAAATAATAATAATAATAATAATTATAATAAATAACAATAAATTATATTAAAATAAAAAAGGAATATTGGTATTGGGATGTGTACCTATCATAGATAGGTAAGTACTCATAAATAAAATATAGGTACCGAGATATCTGACAACCAAAACGAGAATCATTAATTATTTGTGTTAACTAGTGTTTATAAGATCGACGCTTCTTCGTCCGGTATGTTCGTCAGATACGGATCGCTGTACCAATAATACCGCGGAGATCCTTCCGACACGCAGATCTGTTGTTCCAAAGGTCCAGTCCCCTCTACCCAGTACATCACGTAAAAATTGCACATTTCGTCGTCGCTCGTCGCGCTGTGAACAAATTAAATAATCGTCGGAAAATTAACCACAATGACTGGAATTTTATTTAATGAGTCGTGTCAATCTTACCCAATTCTAGTAACGGTGTTTCGCCTGCTTTCCATTGTGCACCTGGCAGCCTATAGATAATACACATCGAAGGTTTAAATTATACATATATATAATATATAAGATAGACTATAGTCATATTAGCGCCTAGCGGTAGGTAATAGCTGGAATCAAACGGTACTTTTCTTGCCAAGATATATTGTTATGGTACCACGAAATTCAAATCCTAATCATTCGAAATTTTGATGGTAAAATATTTACTAAGCGAATTTTAAGATTATTGCAATACCTACAGTAAAATCGGAAATTATTCAAAACCATATTATTTTTAGGCATCAATAAGAGACTGCGCGGTTATACAGTAATAGAGTTAAATAGACAATCGTCAATAAAAAAAAATACTTACCAATATATCACCAAACTTGACGGTGATATTGTTCTCTATTGGGTAAAACATTTGTGGCGTCATGGGGTCTCTTTTTCCTAGTAGATCCCATTTTTGTACACCATTATTATTTTTTACTCTGTAACCAGCTACAACTTTACCTATTTAAAAAAAAAATCGATTATTATTCTAATGTAGGTATATATGTATTTTTAACATAAAAACAAAATGTATACCAAGCACACACTGTCCTCATATAATACATACGACTTACCAAGTTCATGAGTGTGGACCCTGTACGCAAACGGATGAATGACTTTCCCAGTCTCGTAGAGAGGACACGATGTTTCCATGTGTTCGATTGAATTCGGAGGTATTCTTCCGTTTGTAGCTAGTAAGTATACTCCAGCTTGTTTATCTAATCTATAAAATAAAATTAAAAAATAAAAATACAGTATAATAAAATAATTTAAAATAATTATGATAACCGATAGTGGTTATAAGTCGTTAATATTAAATAAGATAAAATTATAAGAACAATAGATAGCACACGTACACACGCACACACACACAGGATATTAGTTATAAAAAGGCCGGTCACCGCCGGTCAAACAACAGTGTTCTTACCATTTCTTTGTATAGACAATCACAAGCGAGAGTAAAAGACTACGCAGATCGGGTATACAATAAGACGTAAGTGTTGAAGTTGTTCATAGTTAAAATTAAATATATATTAAATAATTCATGTATTGAAAAATTGTAATTAAGTTAATAATTCTACTTAAATAAAGAAAGTTTTGTAATTATTTAATACACACTGTTTACCTTACAACATACTCAAAACATCAATAGAAAAGTCGCTGTCAGAAGAAGAAAGGTAATATACTGATTTGTGATTAATTTAAAGGCTTATAATTGAACCCCGGATATATAAAATATAACATCCTTTTAAATTATTACACATAGTATCTGTAATATATGCACTTATAATAATTAAAAGTAAGAGGAGGGTTCCTATACTTTAGTTTTATGAGCCTAAATGTTATTAAGTATTACTCCTTTAGCAATAAGCACTAAGTTGTAATTTATAACTTATAAATAAAGGTAACCTATTTTTTTAATGTATAATATAGTACTTAAGATATGTTATACAGAATTAAATTAGATTAACGTAAATTAAAATATAATAGATTATCTTACTGTTGTTCTGTGTAATGCAAATATATCCCAGAGTTATCCGTTTCGTCATCTGTAATAAATTGTACATGAAGATTATTTAATTATATATTATTGCAGTGACGTATAATTTAGGACAAATATCTGAGATTTCAAATATTTAGAATTGAGCTCATATTGAATTATGGGTGTGTAATATGAAAAAAATTGAGAGGTTATAAATTCTGTATTACACATATTTAATACTAACCATCAAACATTCTGTGGTAGTGAACCTGTAAAACTAAATAATTGATCTGCGAATCACCTCCGACTTTGAATCCAACACCATCTGGAAGTTTCAAAGTTGGTGCATCACGAGCCCAAGCATACATTATCTGATAAAATTATAAATTATAATGTTAATAATAATAGATAGGTATATTATTCAGTTAAAATAGTGAACACAAACATTAGATCCTGACTTGCATGGGGTGGGATGCATATACGGCTTATGTGTATTTGATGCCATTTGCATTTCTCCACAATTCCTTAAAATTAAAATAAATAAAATAAATTTCGATAGAAATTATTTAAAACAAGCTTGGAGGATGTTGCTTACCAAACGGGATCTTCGCTTCCAGGATCTGAACATCCATAAAGTAACATATGGTGCGATGTATGACCGTGAGCTTTTGGCTCGAAACCGACTGTAAACATTTAAAAAATTGATTGTACAGAAGACACACAAAACAATAATAACTTTAAAATTTTTAAGCTTCAGAAAAATATTTTTTAAATGTTTTCTAACGTAATCGAAATTCTAAATACTAAGTAGTTATAGTTATATTATAACATATGGTACCTATTGTTAGGTTAGTTTACAGATGTATAGAAATAATCCGTATTTGACAATATCAATTAACTAATAAAGGAATACAAGTACTTTTTTTCATGCAAACGAGTAAAATCAAACTAAATACAACTATTATTTCTTACTAAAACTGTTATATACTTACCAATAAAGTAAGACTTGCTTGGGTCTATTCTAATAGGAGTGCACAAATACAAATCCATCTACAAACATTTAAAATAACTGTTAATTTATTATATTTATTAAATTTAGTATATTATTATAAAATAATACTAATTTAGATACATTTACATTTTTTTATAAAATTAATAAAACTAAAAACTAATATAAAATTCGATAATAGATTCAACGTCATAATATTTTAAATTATTAAATAAGGTAATACATTTTTAAATCATTTATTATTTTTATATACAATATGAAAAATTCGGGGACTTAAATTATTTTGTCTGAATTATGCACGTGGTATCAAGTTTAAATATTTATAACTTAAAACCAAAATATATTATACTTTTATTGTCTACATCGTCTACAATATTATAACTTATGAGGGTTTTGTTTGCTCAAGTAAAAATACTGTGTTCAATACTACAATATAACAATATACTATATATTTTAATACTACACTTAACATGTCTATATGAGGGTATAACAACATAAACATAAGTAACAAGATACAAAAATATTTAATGTAATCGATCGTTATAGCTTTTTACTTAATAAAGTAGAAAAATGAATATCGTTAAATATTTCATAGGTTTCATTTCTGAAATTAACATTTATTTAAAGTTAAATAAATTGATCAGTTAACTTACAAAACATTAATGAAAAAATATTCTTTACACCAATTCACCAAGGAAACAATAAAAAATATAAATAAAATCCCGTTATGTTTTGGTCTTGAATTTTTGAATGTTAAATTAGCCAAAGAATATTCAAGAACCTGTGACATTCGACGATCAATCGTCACGCCTAGGATGAAAAAATACAAAATAAATACTTCAAATATCTCAGTAATATTAAATCTTTATAACATTAGTTTAAATTATATTTTTGAAATGATTCGTTTTTTAAATATTTGAAAATTAATTGAATTTATAAGCTAACATTAATTTAAAAAAAATCTAAAATAAATGAGCACGGAAGTAATAATGCGATGTATTAAAACAATGTAAATTCTAATTTTAGTATCTAAGTACGCAATACATTTACAAGTATTGAACAATGAATATAAAAATTAAAATTATAGGTAAATATATCATAATATATTAAATAATACGATATAGTGTGATTAATTCATAGCAATATGTATTTCAACATTGGCGTGCATGCATATATATATAACTTTATTAAAAATGTTACTATTTTTGTTGTTTGTTGGATATAATCTAGCACCTCCCCTAAAAATTCAACTAAATTTCCACCCATGACACGGATTATTACAATTTATTGTAAAATATAAAAAAAAAACTTAGTAGATAGATGGGTATCTTAGTAATAATGAAGATTGGATTAAAACATTGATTGAACAATTTAAATAAAAAAGTGTTTAAAAAATATTTTATGTCTTTTTAAACAGGTTTCTACTGATTAATGATTTGTCAATTATATGTATTCTGGACTAAAATTTGTATTGTTATTTGTTAAGTTGAATTAAATTCCTATTTTTATTTCGACATTTAAATATTTTTTAACTGTGTGAAAACATACAATCGACGTATTCTAGGACTTTTTTAATACTTTTAAGTATAAAATCAGAAATTTAGTATTTAAATATATTTCATACACTTATCAAGTATGACAATATAATTTAGGTAATAAACAATAGCGTGTATAGTGTAATATATTATATTATAAATATACAATATGCCATCTCGAAAATGCGGATAAGATGAGTCGTACTAAATTAACCCAAACACGACGCGGTCGAATCGTACAGGTTCCCGGTCACACGCATCAGCTATAATAGCACCTATGTTATTATATTGTATAATGTAATAATATATTCGTACCGCAACGTATATATATAAACAATATATGTATGCGGCAATAGAAATGTGTTATGGCCGGTTTGCGTGCGGTGTCACGCGTATACTCGGAGCACCTACAATGCGGGTCCCCTCCCCCCACGAAAAACCGCAAAACTAACTATATAATATTATCGTTCTATAATAATTGAAGTACAACGGTGAAAATAATTAAATAGGTACAAAGCTGACCATAAAAAAATCGACAGTGCGACGAAATGCTGTAAAAATAAAATATGTAATGCAACTGGTTTTATTCGACAACAAATAGATACCCATAGTTGAATCTAAACTATTTTATGAGTAGACTCATTATTTTTATATTGGTCATACATTTTAGTATTAAAAATATTATGTTTATTATTATTTATTATACAATTAATTGAATACATTTGGTATTTGATACATACCATACTAATATACTCTAAACATATTTAATGAATACATTTAGTTGGCAGTTGTATTGGTCAGAGAAGCATGAAATTCCAAGGGAGTTATTCTCTTTCCCTCCCTCTGGAGTATACCTGTATTCAACACCATCTTAGTTTATAACTTTAAAGTATGCAATATTTAATTTTTTTGTTATAATAATATTATAAAGTATACATGGTCCGGACAAAAAAAAAAGTCGTACAAGAAAAATTAACGAGGGCCATTTCCCTGCCCACCCCTCAAATACCAACCCAAAAAAAAAAACACCATCCACAGCACTACCCACTCGATTCTTTTTTTTTACATAATTATAGTGCAGCAATATTTATATACAATATACTACTGCAGCCTTGCAAGTCTTCTATTCTGCATAATTACGTAGTGGTGTGACACATTGTCATGTATTTCGTTGAACGTTGAGTAATAGAGAGTATCTGACCGCCATTCTCAAAAACTGTGTAATTAATAATTACGAAGACTGAAAACGAAGTATCATAAATAGATCAATCCCCAGAAAACCGACCAACCGTCGGTTATTTAACTGTTTCACATTATTGAACGTTAATCGTTATTGATAAATGTTGGATCACACAGGATCATGTGTTTTCATAACAGGTTGTACGAGGTCGCACTTATTACGGACGATTTATTATTTTCGCAAACAACTGCAGTCGTTACTGCATTATAACCCTATTGCTTGTGTGCAGAGTAGGTATGTCTCGTAATTCGTAAACATACTTGAGTATTTATCATAGGAATACTAATGAACCAATGACGGAATACTACAATTTACCATACATAGTATTAAGTATTACGATTTTCGTAATTAAAGTGAAATCGTATGATTTATAATTACCGTGGTCTGTGATACTCTAATATTAGTACTAACAATAATAATAGCCATTCGAGTAAACAATCATATCACAAAGTTAGATTAATACTGTGATGTCGTTTATTTTGTCTTTCGTCGACCGACGTAAAGAACATTCTCGCGGAACTAATGCCGTAGAGGCGCACTCACTTACCTTTTTGGGCTGCACATTGGGCATGAGCAGCGAGTACTTGTCCACGCGATACGACTCGGCGGACGGCCATATGGTAGCGACGGAGACGACCGCCAGCAAGACCAGAGATGCCGAGTACTCGACCGACGACGGCATGTCGCTGACGCGCAACAGTGGCGTTAACGTACTAACGGGCGTGACCGGAGCGCGAGCACGCCGGGTGCAAAATACGGTCGCGAAGACCGGTTGTCCGCGGACGACTGCGGAGGACGGCGACGCGCGCTATTTCTACGATGTTGTGCACGGATCCGCCGCCGCACGCCTACGAGACGGTGACCGCGCCACTCACGCGCGCATGACAATCACCTGTATACACCACATCACCGGCACCACTACTACCACCACCGTGGTGGACGGCGACGATGCGAACGGCGTGTCACCCGTCCGTCCACACCGGAACCGCAAGACTGGGGCCGATTTATTAATAATATATATATATATATATTATATTTCGAACAGTCTTCGATATTATTTTTTACAAAAATGACTACGGTGACGATTTATCACAGTGACAATGGTGTTAATGAGACGGAGGTCAGGGCGGCAACGCGACAATAACACACGCGCAAACCGTCGTGGTGTAAAACACACTGTTTTTTTTTTTTTCGTTATATTTTGGCGCGCACTTCGGCTGCACTATACTCTCTCGGGGCCAACGCACCTGAACCACGACCGGTGTACGGGCCAACACTATGGAAACCTCTCTCGCGCGCGCCCGTATTTGCCTGTGTGCGCGCGCGCGAGCGCGCGTGTGTGTGTGTAATTATTTTTTCGGAACACCTACCGCGCTCGACAGCGGTCCCCCCCTCACTTGACTCGTTCGCCACCGCCAACGTCGTCTCCGCCGTCGTCGCCGCCGCCGCATCAGCCCGTCCGCATAATTTTAAGAGACGCAACATGCTCCGTCCAGTCCGTCCATCAGTGGCGGCCTCGCTGATTTACCGCCCGCTATCGATTTTCCCGGTTGCGCGAATCCAACAGTTGTGCGTGGGCGCCATCCCACCGACCGACACGCGCCCTTGCTCGAGATCCGAAAGTGAGACAGCGCCGCTGCCGCCACCGCCAACACCCACAACCCACAAACGGGGAGAGACCCGTACCCCTCTAGCCCTTCCTCAATCGTGACGGGGTGTTCGCAGATCAGCCCTCAGCAGCCGACCTACATTCATGTTGCATACTCAACGGGTACTTCTGCGGCGTAGACGTTTATTACGCGTTTTAACTGATTGAAGCCGCCCCGTTCTAGTTGGTTTCCTGCGAACAGTGACACATTTCCATCGACGGACTAAACGGTAAGTCATCGTCTGACAAAAATACGATGTTCTGAGCATATTTTTATTATCTCTGTGTGTATAATATATATATATATATTAATATTATATTTATTACTGCGATTATATGTTAATATATTATGCTGAGCGCAATCCTCCGTTGACGTCTAAACTGTGATGTATATTATGATTATGCCATCATATTGTGCACTTATCATTTACGCATCATTATTCAAATTTTATCGTTAGGTCCAATACATATAATATCATATTATACATTAAACCGTCTATTGTATATTTATGCAACGTTCGAAAAGTTAGCGGATACCGAATATGATGGCTTTAAAATTTCCATTGTATACTCGCCACAAACAGTGGCGCCCAGACAGGTTAGCAAGGGGTGCAACTGCATGTGCTTTCGTGATGGGTAGGTGGGTAGGTGGGTGGATAGGTATAGTCCCTAGTCCCTATGGTTATAGGTACCTAAATAAAGTATAGGAGTAAAGTATAACAATGCTACACGACAACTCATATGATGTTACAAGTTACTTATAGTTACAAGTTACAACATATTAAATGATAAAGTAATAGAAAAATCATCTGAATCAAGAATAATACAATATTCGAATATTAATGTTGTACGCTGTTTAGCTGATACGCTCGTATATTTAATATTATGAATTATTATATTTTTGTATACAAATCAAAATAACAATACGGGTATTGCTACATGGTGATAAGATACCAATAACATCGTATATTAGGTATTTATTTTTAGAAATGTGTTTCCCTGTTCCCTCAATATAACTAGCCAGCAACCACCCTACCCGGCCAATCCATTGGCTACACGATAATTATTTATTATTATGACCGATAATCGGTTAGTAAATTCCAGTATTCGGTATTCCACACTTTCCACTAGATATTTTAGTGAATTTGTGTTGTTCGTCTGTTGACTGTTTGATCTACGAACTTCAAATAATTTTGTATGCGTCTATGGCAATTTTTTATTGGTGAAATTAACTATCACTTATTATTATTCAATTTTCACAGTTATTTATTAAAATATTACATTACGTTCAATAAAATAACATTTTGTTTTTAAATAAAAAAAATGGGTGGGTGGGTGGGTAACTTTGGATAGTTGCATGTGCTCTCAAAATACCTCTGTGCGCCACTGGCCACAAACATCCTGAAATGCGTAGGTATCATTAATTCTGTACGATATTGATCTGAACGTCAAATATCATACATAATATAATATATATAAAACAAAATATTGTTGTAAGTTTTATCGAAAATAAATTCTATATAAAAACCGGAACGGCGCTTTCTATTTGTATATATATATAACCATACATAACAACAGCGAGTTGTACATCGTACCCGTTATAAACCGAAAATCAGACTCAAAATTCCTATATCCCCGCTACTCTCCCTGTCCATTTACTACCGGTATAATCTACTTAGATTCAATATAGTATGCATACGCACGCACAAACACACAAAATGATATACCAAAGTCTAACGTTATAATATGCCTACACTTTACTCTTTGAAAAAGTCACATCACCATTTTCATATCAAAATTGATGAAATCAAAACTAATTTTTTTAAAGTTATTGTCAATAATAATGAATAAAACTGTATTGACGTATTGTATAATAATTGTATCCTACAGCATATTACCTAAATTACATATACATTGTGTGAACTTTGTACATATGTTAGTTTTTGGAGAGTGTCCAATCGATTATTATATTCTGTGGTCCAATGTTCAAACATCTGTTTATCTGAAATACGTGGATAACCTACAAGGCTACAACTCGAATACTAATAGGGAAGGCGGAAATGAACATCGGGGATATTTTCCTTCCCCTTACAAAAATTCATTAAACCAGGATACACAATTATTTCTAAGTAATTGAATTATTTTCTAAACACTTTTTATCTATATATATATAGATACTACATTGTTAAATGGTTATAGTGTTTTTTCGTTTTACTGATTGATAATTTAGATCAACTTACGGTAATATTCAGTAGCGCCGAGTTATATAAATTTAAGTGAAGCAAAATCAAAATATTTACACACCTACCCACTCACCACTGAGGATATTGTCTACCTCTAATAACTAATAACTTGAGTTATTTATTTAATTATTTAGTATAGGTATTATGTAACGTAAAAACAAAAACACCTACAAATAAAACCACCCACCCTCTTTATTACACGAAGCAGTCGCTTCAGTTCATGTATAGGTTCAGCGCCACTTGTAATACTAATGGTAAAACGAAATGCTTAAATAAAAATAGCAAAAAAAACATATCATGAAATGTACTTATGATACAGACTAACAGATTATTTTTGCTTAGAATCGTTTTTTGTGTAAAATGATGTATAATTAAATTCAAATTTAACATATTAATTGAAATGAACCACTCCACGCTTAATGTACTACAACAAAGCGGTAACAACTTTTCCGTATTTTTTATATTTAAATTTGAAATATGCTCACTTAATAATTATTGATATTGTGTTTAGAATTTCAAATTTTAGTAATTAAATATAATATATTTAACTTTTCTATGGTATATTTATTTTTAAATTAAATAATTAGTTCCATCAGAATAGGGTAGTCACGTATTCAATCATTATACAGTGGCTCAGATTGAGATTGTTTAGTTCTTTAAAATGTATCCAGACCAGTCAGGAATAGAAAGAATACACTGTTACCGCTATGCGTACGCTTATAACCCCTATTAGGTTGGATAAGTCAATAACTTATTTTTATTAACTACTGCATATTTAATGGGAGGCAATATAAAATAATATGTATTAAATATTAATATTATATTAAACGAATGTGTCAAATTACTTAACATAAAGTTATAGTAAAAATAAATTCTTTGTTAATATAATACACGAGTATCTGTAATTATTATTAATTTTTACTAAAATAATTATTGTTCTAGAAGAGTTTAGCAAAAACAAAATTCCCTTTAAGGGGAAGCAATAGTGTAAATATTTCCATGAATATGTGTATGAGTATGACGTTCTACGTAGGCAGTTAAAATGTTTCAACTATTTCAAAACTTCATTCACTTAAAATGCTTAGACAAAGGGTTCACAATATACATCATAAATCATAACTATTAAATTATTACTTTTCTAGGTAATATCTGAAAACCGATACATTTTATAAAATGTCAGTAGTTAGCATGGACTATAGTAAGTTCGAGCAATGTCAACACTACCATTCATCATTTACAAAACTAAATGAACTTCTCAAGTAAGATGATGTAGAAATTAAGTAGTTAGAATTGCATAACATGGTAATTTGTTTATTTAGAGAAGAAACATCGTGTGATATTATTTTAAAGACAACAAACGGAAATGAAATACATGCTCACAAATATGTGTTGTCAAGTTGTAGTGAATATTTTGAAAGAATGTTTATTGGGGGATTTGTAGAGAGCACTAAAGATATTATCCACATTAAAGATATCGACTATAAAATCTTGAAATATTTAGTCGATTATATGTATACTGGTAAACTGATAAAAATCACTAAAAACAATGTTGAAGTAATGATTTGTTATTCATCTAAATGCAGATTCGGTCTTAGGCAGCAGCGGGGCCTCTTCTCTAGGCTTCGCGCTTTTGTATAACATTTTGAGCCTTGCTTTAATGAAATTATACATTACTTTATATTATAAAAAAAGATTTTTACTATAGACGCCTCAATCTATAAAAAATTGGCCCAGGCCTCGCTCCAACCTAAGACCGACTCAGTCTGAATGAATATAATTCTAATATTGTAATGCTATACATTTTATTTTTAAAGGCAATATTGAACGGAGCTGATATTTTTCAAATTAAAAAAGTTCAACGTCGATGCGTTAAATTCTTATCGAAGACATTACGTGACGATAATTGTTTGATGATTAAAAATATAGCTGATTTAAGATTGATCACTGATTTGTCTGATTATTGTTTAAAATATACTCTAAAAAATTTTCTGTTAGTTGAAGTATTATGGTTGTGTATTTTATTTAGGGCATGGATTTTAATTCACAAAAAGTATGACAAATTTCTTAAAAAACTATTTAATAAATTAAAACTGCTATAAATACTTTTATATTTAAAATGTATTTATTTAATTAAATAATGTAGTTCTATTTATAGAGATTTTTTATAACAAAATAATTTAACGTGTTGAACTCGTCGATACGAGTGACAATGAGAATATTTTAGTCTATCTTCTCGATTTCTATTTCTGTACAATATAATTGAGATTATTAATTTTTCCTATAAAATTGATATAACAGCACGACAATCGACCATGAGAATACATTTAGAATGTACATGTATAGTTTATAAAATTTATGAAAAATGATTAAAAATTTTTGAAAAAAATCAAATTTATAAAACAAATTTGTTCATGGAAAACAATATTTTACAGCATTTGAACAAAATTATTATTACATATTTTATTTGCGCAACCGTGCCCTAATTATTATATTACATATTTATATTAATGTATACAATTTAAAAATATTAATGTAAATTTATTTGGTAGATTTATATCCGAACATATATCTTTTATGGGTATAGACATAACATATCTGAAACAATTGTTAGAAAGCGATGATTTGAGTGCTAAATATGAAGAAGATGTTAGTATACTATTATTTAAATAAATCAATCTTATATTATATAGGCGGCATTTGTGGTATGGGGTTAGAGCTACCAGCTACCATCATATACAATAATCTGGAGTTACAATTTTATCAATCTGCTACATTTAAATCAAACAAAATAATTAATACCTACCAACTATACTATCTTTGTTCTAAATAGATACTTACATTAATGTTATGAAATAAAAATAAATCATTTTTAATTTTTTAAAATCATAGATTAATTTTTAATATGATAAACATACTTATTTCAGGTTGTTACACGAACTATCACTAAAGTCCCTTAAACATGATTACTGATTAGTCCATTTATTTTTATTGAATTATTGAATTAATCAATTTTTTTGCGACCCAGCATTAATATTTTTTTTTTTTTGAAAAAAACATTAATCTAAAAATAAATTATCTAATATGGTGAAAATGGTTTGAGGGATACATCACACATAAACTACATGTTAAATATACACCAAATGCCGTGTATAACAACATTATTAATACTTATATTTTTATTACAACTATACGTAATTTAATAGTTTAATGGCTTGGAAAAACTTAACTTTTTTAGGTGTATGAAGTTGTCATAAAATGGGTAAAGCATGATGAAAATGACCGAAAACATTCATTACCAGAACTATTGAATCTTGTTAGGCTGGCATTAATTCAAGAACATATTTTGGAACAAGAAATTAAATCAGAACCACTTATTTATTCGAATCCTGAATGTAAGTTCAAGATGATTTAAAACGATTTAAAAAATTATAACATATAATAAATTGTTTATGAAATATAAACGGTTATATTAACTACTTAGGCTTGAAGATTGTCACAAAAGTAATTGATCATTTTAATTTTAAAAATGGAGATTCATTATCAAAGATAATAAAAAATGTGAAACCAAGGATCGACAGCAAGGTAATTTTATTTAAATATTACATGAATTACTCGACTGACTAACTGAGTGAAACGTACAATGTAATGTAATTTTCTAATAATTTAAAGACAAATTAGAAAACTATTTTAACATATGAATCTATTTTGTGTTTTTAAGCTATAGATATACATATTTCTTTCCAACCGTTACAAATTTCCTTTACAACCAATAAGCAATAAGCAATAACAATGTTGAAATTACAATGTTATTATAACGTTAAAATGCTGCATTATAGTACCATATAGATATAGGTTACCCCTAGCCACTAATGAATAATATAATTTCGTTATCATAGCAACCAAAAAAGAACAAACCCGCAAATCTGAATAACATTTTTTTTTTTATATATATGTTACCGGCATTATGGATAATTCAGGTATTTTGCAAAATGACTAGGTATTATGCATATTGCCGACCGGTTTTAGTCAATGTAAATAAAACTTAGGATTTTCAATATTATTTTATATATAACCTAGGTATTTTTTTAAATACCTAGGCATTATGTAAAATGCCAATTTTTTTTTTGGGCAAAGTAAAAAACAAATTATTTAATGTTATTATATTGTGTATATATATTATTATTATAGCTACTTATTACAACATGTTGTTGAAAAATGACATTTTGATGTGTATAAAACGTTATTTTTTAAGACAAATGCACTTTTTATTTTGAAACTTAGTCTTACAAACGCATTTTAAAAATTCTTGGCCAGTTCCTGTCGACTGTTCTTTTGCGACTGTTCGTAACGCCACTTTTGTGTCTGTTGGGACTTCGTCAATTTGTAGTAGCTTTTTTTGACATACTGTAAACTGACTTCTGGTGTACAACTGGCATACGTTTTAAATACGGCTCAAATATTTACATTTTATATGGTCACCTCTTCTTTAGGCAGTTCTCAACAATTATTGGTATATATTCTTTTTGGTGGTGTAGTCATCGAGACCGACCACTTAAATAGTAGAAGCCTCGTGACTAAACAAGGTGGTACCCAATTTTGTTTATTTTTATCATATTTCTTAATTGACGTTTGGCATTATACGTTATGCCTAAGCAAAGCTTGTATTATATATATTGTCGAGTGATTTTTAGCATTTTACATAATGTCTAGGCATTTAAAAAATACCGGATTATCCATATTGCCGGTAACATATATAATATTCGGAAATCTTGTAAGATTGTCCATTACATTAAATTATTAATATAATTGCGTTATCTTAAAAGTCTCGTTGAAACATTCTTTTAATCATTATTTTAAAAACATTTTTATGATTTAATGCTTTTCTATGCAGTGAAATATCGAGTAGCATGCTACGTGTTTTATCTGTATATATACCTCTTAAAGTCTTATATATAATCTTATGTATGTCAAATATTTTTATTAAATATTGGGTAAATTTTTAAAATGTCATCTGTTGAATTTTTTTTTTTAAATTTTGTATGAATTATAAAATATACTACTACCACATCTTGTACATAATAAAATAATAAAATATTTTATCAAGTCCTCCTCCTTCCCATTGAATATTTCTGAGTGTATCTCTGCTCTACTCCTACCATACATCAAAACTACCCCGATTTTTAAAAACCTTTATAAATATAGATTTTATTATTTATTTATTTATCTAATACATTTTTTATTGTTAATTAAATAGAAATTCAGGAACAAATTTAGGAATCGATCAGAGGTTGTGTGTAAGATACCAGATAGTGAACATAGAAGTGCAATAAATCTTCTTGCTTATTTCGATAACCGCGTTAGTAATAATACTGATATCTCAAAAGTTGAATGGGACAAGAAAATGAATGAAATTAATTTTCTTGAAAATTGGAATGAAAAATGGGAAGATTTGTGTAGTACTGATGAAGAAAGTGACGATGACTAATATGAATATTCAATAAATAAACACAAGTATTTTATGTTCAATTTGAAATTTTGATTAATTAATTATTGTTATACAATACATTAATACAATACAGTGGCGTATTGAGGTTTTTGTCATGGGGATATAATTTTATAAGACAATTACCAATTCGAGGGGGGCTACGCCCCACTCACCTCCCTAAATTTCCAGAAATTATAATAGCTTTCTATAATAAATTAATAGCTATTAAATATACATTCTATGTTTAAATATGTTGCCAAAATTATAATATATAACACATTACTTGAGATTAAATGTTTTATTGATACAAAATCGAATGCTTAAATAAATATGAATAATATGATGACTATAATTATTTGTGTGTGTATATACCCTAAGGGGGGTATTTATCCCCTTGATCACCCCATAAATACGCCACTGATATAATGTAATATACGACTACAAAATGTGTGATAAATAGGAAGTTTAATAGACTTTATGCACTTATCGTATCTATATCTAAGTAAATTTTACTATATTTATAATAGCACTAAATGAGACACCGTTGTACCTCTTCTCGCGTAGGTTATAAATTCATTTATATTGACAATTCAAATAATTTAATATACTTATTACTTACAATTACCTACTAAACATAATTGTTTTTATACTTCAGAAATTACATAAATATATGAATCAAAAATGTTAATCACATAGTATACGTACCTATAGTGATGTTCTAAAATTCAAAAATATTACAAAATTATCTACACAAGAAACTTTTTATAATTTTAGTTAATATTAAATTTAAAATTAAATATTAAGAAGCAAATTATTATTATTTGTTCAGTTATTTCTGATAAATTATTTATCCAGCAAAGATTAATAATAAATTAGTATTTTAAGTTTAAAGTACTTTAAACGCATTTAAACTTTAAACTTAGTGTTCACGATTTATATAATATAAATATACATTAACAATTCTATTGTCATAGCAAATGTTTTTATTTTGTTAAGTTTTAAAATCATATTATATATATAATACATTTATGTTACTATTATAATCAAAAATATTTTCTTTTAATATAATTATTAATTATTAATTATTAATTAATATACTTAATCTTCATTACATTAAAACATTAATGTTTTTTAAGATATACGATATACCTACTATGGGAATATCACTTATTAATTATAATTATACATATACAGTGGTCGCCGCTTATTATAATTACGGTTAATGTTATCAATCGTTTATTGTTATCGAAAAATGTAAGTACGGGCCGGATCTATACTTATATGTGTACATTTTGTCGGTTTTTGTAATTAATACGCCGCATAATATTATCAGTTTGAGTTCATAAAATCATAATTTTGTAACATACTATGAAATTTTTCGTCGAATGTCTCATAATAAAGATAAAATTTGTAATAAAGATATAAATGTTAGTGGTGTACATACATATTATACATATTTATTTATTTACATTTAATTTTTTTTTTTAATTTTAAATTTCCAATTTATACCTACATATTATGTACTTTATTTATAAATAAATAATAATAAATAAAAAAATTATATTTTTATTAACTATGTATTTAACGTAGATTTTATTACTTTTTATAACTTTTTTAACTTTCGTTTAATGTTATCAATCGGATTATATTATCAGTTATGTCCCGTACCAAATAAATTACATTAAGCGGCGACCACTGTATATATTTTTTTTTTATCTGCACTATAGTTAATAAGTGAATACAAATTATATCTTAATTACGTTGCATTATTGTGTAAGGTACTTAAGTACCTATTAATTATATGTATGAAAAAAATGTTGCATTTACTATTATTAAATTATAAAAATACGACTACATCACATCTGTTTATGAATTTTATTATTTTTTTGTAGGTATTCTGTATGAGTTTTATTACGATACATCAGAAACTACGTATCTACCTATATTAAACCTAATTCCTAACATACCTATAACCTACTACACCTAATTTATAAGTATTTATGGTTTATACTTTATATTAAACGATTTATTTAAAATCCAATAACATTATTCTGAACGCCAATATTGTTAAGATTTTCTACACTTTTATGCAAGTCATAACATCTTAAAGGTAAGTACTTACTCCAAACAACATCAAAATAATAATAAAAAAAAAACAGGTAATGCTTTTAGTAAACAATATGTTCACTATAAATACATATCCTAACTAGTTATTTTATCCCTAAATGGATTCATCAAAAAAATGTATACAAAATGCATATATACTTAATGTTACATAGTTACACGAACAAAAATAATATATTACTCGCTTGTTACAATAAGTGGACAAGATAAATAAAATGTATTGATCTGTGTGTACTACTTACACTTTTAATATGGCTACTCAAAATAAGTTTTATATGTTATATTAATATGACTATAGATACATAATAAGTATATAGTACCTACATTATAAAAATAAGAATAATAATATTATATTGTATAATAATAAATAAAATATTATAAAAATTAACATTGGTTCATAATTTTTGGTTATTTAATTGGAATTTTGTACCGAATATATTTTAAATTTTATTTACATAAATATGTGAATATTTTTTAAATTTTGTTTGAAAATTTTACAATTTTTTTTTATTATTGTATTATAAAAATACAATCTGTATACTATATATATAATACGAATTTGTAGTAGGACTAGTAGGTATATTTTTTTTTTACAATTTTTAAGCGGAAAATCTATCAGTTTTGGATGTTTTGATAGGTACTTTCACGTTTTTAGATACATTCACATTCTACTCGTCCGTCCATTTGTACTTCGTAATCAGTAGTCACTGTGTAATAACTGATACATAGTTAGGTACCTAGGTGGGCTAGGTGTTAATTTAGTTATTGGTTGTCAAAGAGATAGATATTATTTTTAATATTTGTACTGATTGATGATAAAAAATGAAAAAAAAACTATTATTACTATTATTATTAATCAAAGCTGATTAACTAATTAAAAACTTAACTAATTAGATTTAATGCATATTGACTTTTTAACTTAACTAGTTGAATTTTAAGTGTAAAATAATCTAATCTAACTCATTAAAACCAATAATAGTAACTAGTTATTTTTGAATTTTATTTTCAAGTTATAATTTATTAATAAATATGATTATTATTGAGTATTTTTAATTTTTAATTTTATGACATATTTTTCGTCATTATTTCTTATCAATTATTTTCATTAGTATTTTCTATCTACTTGAAAATCTTATCAATATTAGCTGTTTAATTTAATTTTTAATTTATCTTCAATAGTTCAAATTTGTTACCCATCTTCTTTATAACTAATTTATGAAATACATTAAATATAAAAAAACTGGTTTTAAAAATTTATATTTTAAATAAAAATTAAATTAACTTAAAACTAACTAAATTAAAAATTTTATAAATTTTAGAAACCAACTTCTATTTTAACTTAGTTCTTGTATTAAAATAATTTAACTTTAACTAGTTGAAAAAAATGACTTGACCAGCTTTATTAATAATATTAAAAACTATAAAACCAACAAGTTTTTTAATGTTTGAACGCACTATAATAATATCATAAGTAACTACAGAAACGTTTTCAATAAAAGTTATGTATAAATTAAGATTCTTTAAGATTTGAAAGAGGGTGTTTTAAATTTATTTTTTGAACCTCTATATATTGATACTATTGATAGGTTTGAAATAAAATTTTGCTTGCGAAAATCGAATATTTTTTTGTTTATTTAAATGGTTGCCATTATTAGTTACGTCATGTCATATAACTATTGTACCTCGTAATTCATAGACTTATGCCATATACAAATGTTTATAAATATGTTTCAAAAAATCAAAAAAATCAAATACTTATGAACACAATTATTACAATGATTCTTTTCATGATTTGTAATTTTTAAACTTTGGATATATTTTAAAAAACAATTCAAGACAAATATCAATCTGAAATTTAGAACAATAATGAATTTAAGTCAGATTTTAAACATTTGTTAAATCTGTCTCCAGTTTTTTGTGTTTACATGAAAAATATATTATCCAGAACCAGAGAAGTCTTGGTTTATTAACGATAATTGATCATTTTTAAATACTAAAAGTCCTCAACCCAAAAATATTATATAAATATAGTAATAATAATAAATGTTTTATAATAGATAGTCAAATGTAATATTTTGAATTAAAATATAATATAGTGTACAAATTATTTTCAAATGCGGTATTATTTTAGGGTGGCATTTTTATGATTATGAGTTAGCACTAGACGGCGAAATGACTAGCTCTGGTACAACATATTACATACATTTTTTTTTCAAACTACACGTATGACGCGTGTAGAATGCATAGAAAAAGATGTACACACCGTCTGTGAATGGTGACGTTATGATTTTTGATTTACTTTTCCAGATGATTAATAAATACCAAACAATAAATAAATAAAACAAATAAAACATTTGAAACTATTTCATATTATTTAATATTTTTAGGCATAATATGTAATTTAAAAAATTTAGTAAAAAAGTAATTTTAATATAATGTAAAGGTTAAGTATAAAAAAAAAAGAATATTATTTTATGACAATATTGATCATTGATCAACATAGGCATTCACCTTCCATAACGCCTTCATCAATTAGTATTTAGTACCATTTACATTTCACGTACCCCTTTAATGCCTAATAATTATTGGAAAACATTTACATACACCTGTATTGACGTTTTGACCAAATATATTCGAGTGTTCATCAATTTATTGTAATTATCTTTTTATACGTTACACATTAACAAAACACACACAATTATTGTCCATATACTCTTATAAAATTTAAATTAATAATATTTTAATTGTTACAGATAAATTTATATAAAATAAAATATATTATAAATTTATTTTATTTTATATAAAATTTAATTTTTTAACTTTGATCAAATGTCAAATCTTTTAAGTAATGAAAAAAAAATATTTCTTATTTAAATGTATTAAATACATACAACTTGGTAATAAGTAAAAAAATAAA